TCATTACGAGGACTCGCCTCTGAGCTCGAATAAAAAGTCGCATCTTTGTTTGTACATTTACATGCCAGCGCGCTGACGCGACGTGTAATTAACACTGCAGAATATGCAATCGTCTCTAATCCCTCCGTCACCGGCTCCTGGAGCACTCAAAGGTGCGAACCCCGGAGCGATTTTCACACCTTGCCCATCCGAAGGGACGCTACACCTCGGTCGTGCTAAGGTAAAACGTCGTTTGGGCCTTCGAAGTTCGAACGTTGTGTTTATTTGTTAAAATAAACGGATTTCTTCTAAAACCTGTAAATACTTGGATGAGTTAAGCAAAACAGTCACATCAGCATTTCAGTTTTTTTTTTTTTTAAAAAATATCATATACAACTTATTCTACGGAATGAAAAAGAGCGTTTTGACTCAACAACGCAAATTCGGACCTCCCCCCCCTCTCCCCAACTCGAGAAAAATCCCCCTCCTAAGAGATTTTGGTTTTGCCGAGTTATAAGATAGACTTGCGCGAGTAGTTTAATATCGGAACCAAAACGATGGGTAGGCAACTATTCGGGCTCTTGGGATGTTTGATGTATCACGTGTGATTGAAGGCGCACCAGCGCACTCGATGTCATCGCAAGCTCGAGTCTATTGCGATGGGCTCTTTCTCGGTTTGAAATGGACGTTTCGCACGATCACGATAGGTCTCCCCACCCACTTCTCCTCTTATATAGTCCATGTCGAATCAACGAACGAGGTCAAATAAGTCAAAAGTCCAATATGTGAAAATACATCATTTTTTGCGCACTTACGGCTTTCTTATATCGACGGTGTAGGTCGGCAATCACATAACTCGGTTTGCGACGTCCGCAGACTTCTTGTCATAGGTACTTTATTTTTTAAACGGGAAACTACTTAACGGCAATTCTTTAAAACTGCCGTGATTTTTTTTCCCAGTGCGAAGCAAATTCTGCAAAATCTTCAAGGAATGATGTCGATTTGTTCTACTTTAAAAAAAATAACATAGATGCGGAGATTTTCAGACACCGCAAACGAGTTATGTGATTGCCGACTTACACCATCGATATGTCTCGTATTCATTCAACTAGGATGAATTTTATTGTTTTAGCTATATTTCAGTGATTTTATCTAAAATAGCGCCATACGACGTTTAAAAATTTCCGCCGCCATTTAATTTTTTTTATAAATTTCACCGAATTTTCTTTACGCTGCGGATAAAAATCAGTGAAATTTTCAAACAGATTCAACCAATAATTTCTCTGTAAAAAAATAAAATGGCGGCGGAAAGTTTGAAACATCGTACGGCGCTTGTGATACTTCGACCGGAAATGACGACTTACTGCTCTCTTCGCTATCATGGCAGAAAGGGTATCGACAGCTCCTCTTTCCCCTCCGATTAGCGGTGTGTGAAAACGAGAGAGGACATTTGGACAACATTCTGCAATTAGAAACCACAATTTCTAGCCCATCCGGAGAAACACTCATTCGCATAGGGAAACTGATGGTACATAACGACGGTGAAATTACCAAACCACGTATCTCGTTTGCGGTGTTTAAAAATCTACGCTCACATTTTATTTTTTTGAAATAGACCAAATCAATATCATTCCTTGAAATTTTCACAGAATTTTCTTCGCACGAAGAGGAGAAATCACAGAAATTCTCAAGACTGGACATTACGTAGTTTTTCATTTGAAAAATAAAGTATGACAGGAAGTCTGCGACGTCGCAAACCGAGATACGTGGTTTGGTAGTTTCACCATCGATAAGTCGTTTCTAAACTGAGTCAGATACTGTTGTTCCAAATTGGAAAATACAGTCCATTTCGTCTAAGTTGGAAACGAGGCGTCGGCAGAAGGATGAAGCAAGGAGATGAGGATGACTCCTTAAACCCGTTGACTCGGAGCGGCACTCGTGGCTCGCCCGGGGCCGGGGCGCTAAGCTGCCCGGGACCCGACGCATGTGAGCATGAGCTGAAAGCGTTACAAAGCGTGTCCCCTTGCTCAAGTGCCCCCGCTCCAGCGCGTGGAGGCAGTGTGATAAATTGGAGTTTCATCGGAGCGTAATCAAGGGTTAAACGTGAATGGATACTTCTCGTCAACAGTCATGCGGTCCAGAAAGATGGGGACTGGGGAGGGCGAGGGAGGAGGGAGAGAGACAGCCAGAAAAAGGCGAGCACGCGGATCCGATTGAAAAGGCCGCTTCCGCCTGAGTCCGTCTCCCCTTTTTTTTAATTGAAATAATTTGTGCCAGCGAGTACGTTTCATTATTCATTGTTTTACATATTCTCGCTTTTTCGCTCCGAGCCCCGGCCCCAAGCGTTGCCGCTCCGCCGAAAATATCGCAGATAGGTCCGAACCCATCCTCGTCTTTGGGGCCATCCTAGAGTCCCTTTATACTGAGAGTCAAGACAATGTGAATCCATTTCTGATTGGTTCCCGTATTTTAGGCCTTCACAGTGTCACAAACGGGAATAAAGATTACATTTTCACCAACTGCGAAGATTATAATCTGGAATGGACCGAGGAATTGCGGGTTCGGTAAGGAACAAACAGAATGAGAGAAGGAACGGAGAAAGGGATTTGAGAATGGGCCGATCAAAGATTACGAAAAACGTTCGATTTCTGTAATCTTTATTCCCGTTTGTGACTCCATGAGGGGGTGCTGTCTTGACTCTCAATATAAAGGGACTATAGGCCATCCATAAATGGACCGAGTTAAATAGAAAGGAATCGAGCCACATCAGCTATTGACAAATTTAATGGGGCAAATCAATTTTTTACATGAAAACGGTTGTGCGGATTTTCGTGTAAATTTCAGCGAATTTTCTCCATGGTACGAAGCAAATTCGTTAAAATTTTCAAAGGGATCCGCACGAACGCTCTATCGTAAAAAATTAAATTGCCCAGTTAAAGGCAATAGCTGATGTGGCTTAGTTCCTCTCTGTTAAACGCGGTCCAAATCGTCGCTCCTCTGACGAAAGGGCGTATCTCCTTGTTCAAATGAGCCCCGAAAGTATGGAGTTATATGGGCAACAGGGCTCAAGTGAAAATAGAGATACGCCTTTACGGCAGAGGAGCGACGAAATGGATCGTGTGAAACAGAAAAAACCAAACCACTCCAGCGATTGCCAAACGAGGGGCTTGGAGGCTAAGGCGCACAAGTGCAGTTTTCGAAAAAGTTGGGATATTCATTATTTTAAGTAAAACTAGTCTTAATGAATATGCTGTGAGAAATTCGCTCCCAAATTTCCGCTTATTAAGCGTCAAAAAGACGGTTTGAAATTTTTTTCCAAAATAAGGATTCATGTAATTTCGGAACTTCAAACGCTTATGTACATTTTCCTCCAAGCCCCTCAAAATTAATTGGGTAATAACATTTTTTCCATGAAAACGGTCGTGCGGATTTTTGTGCTTCCAGTGAATTTTCTGCGTGGTCCGAAGAGTATTTCTCAAAATTCTTAAAGAAATCCGCGCAAACATTCTCTCATAAGAAAAATTAAATTCCCCAGTTAAATTTGGCAATGGCAAATGTGGCTTGGTTCCTTTCTGCTGGACGCGGTTCAATTAGGTAACGCTCTAAGAGGGGGGGGGGGGGGGGGGTTCGAGGAGAGCGTTACGCTATTTTATTTTTACGTGTCAAGGGATGGAGAACTATGTCTTGAAAGCGTTACTAGGGGGGGGAGGGGCTTCAAAAATGTCAAAAAAGTGCGTTACATCATTTATGGACGGCCCCTTTTTACGATAGTTTCAAGGTGACAAATTCGTGGAGCATTTAACATATTAAGAATTGTTTCTTTTCCTAGTATGTCTCATAGGACGTGCAGAGAGTACTTTTGTTGCCCTCCACATCGACGACGCGTTTTTCTCCTTTTTCATTCCAGACCGCAAAAGAGCTCATGGTCACGAGTGAGGCTCACGATGACAGCGAAAGCGCCTTCAATTGCGCGTGATACATCAAACAGCCCAAGCGTTAAAATAGTTGCCTACCGATCGTTTTAAGTTTCGCAGTGCAAGCTAGAGAGTTATGCGATGTAATCTCTACGATAGTTGGACGTGTTTATGCTGAAAGACTCTGTGGTAAATGAATTAAATCAATAGGAACTATATGTAGATAGGATGTTCGTGCTTTACGTAAGTTCCTCTTGATTTAAATTATTTACATATAGGTCTTCTTGGCTTAAATACTAGTTTGTCTCTTACTTTGGCAAAGAAGGAGAAGAATATGGGTGCACTAGAAAGATAGTGACACTTAAAACGAAAAGAAAAGTCCTGTACTTAAATCTATACTGCAATGTCTCCAAACTTCTGATTTTACTTCATTTTTTCCGAAAGAGACTAATAATGCTATTTTAATGTATCCATGTATACGTTATCCATAATAATACATTCTTGCATGTTCGAATGACTCCTCCTGCACTGCATTGGAAATATGCCTTAATAATATTCAAATATTGCCGAATTTCACTGAAATGCATATTTTTGAGATAAGTTATTACTATTTCTGCCGTCCAAACCAAAAACGCCGTATCTCCATTCAGCATTTGTCAATTACTTGCCGTCAAAGTGCTGTTTTACAAAAATGCCAACAAATATTCATCCTTTCCATCGAGTCAACTCTGATATACCTATCATTGGGAAGTCAACATGAAAAAGTGAAACATCCTGCAAATGGGGGAGGGGGGGGTTGTAATAGAGCAGTGCGTGTAGAAGAAAAATACAAAATTTGGAATAAAGTTACTGCATTTTTGCTGTGGACGGCAGACTTGAGCTTGATAATTCCCGATGCTCTAGGTCACAGTGCTAGTACCTACAATTTTTTAAAAATTCGAAGAAAAAATTATCTCTAGTTCTCTTTGAGTTTTCTATGGCATCAGGCGAAATTGAGTGAGATTTCTATGGCAGCTTTTTCTGCGCGGAAGTACACGCCTGATTCATGGCAGTCTCAAAAACGTCTAACTTAGTGTTTTCTGACGAGAAATTGTTTTGTGTTCACAGCCGGCGGGATGTCGAACTACCCGCGAGAGCCCTCGCCGATGGGCCCGAAGCCGGACTGCCGGAGCGGGGACCTCGTCTCGCGGCTCCTGGCCGCCACCCCGCCCTACCTCTACAACATCCCGGTCGGGCCGCAGAACTTCTTCTTCTCGGAGATGCTCCGCGGATTCGTCCACGCCCGCGCTGCCGCCCCCGCACCGCCTCCCAAGGACTCCACCCTCAGCCTGGGCCCGCCGCCGCCGCCCGGTTCCCGCAGGGGCCGGAAGCGCTCCTGGAAAGAGGCCAAGGCCGCCGAGCCCCTGGAACTCACGACGAAGACGCCGCCGCCGCCGCCCAGGGTCCAGTCGCCGCCGGCCCCGCCTAACGTGCTCCCGCCGATGCTCCCCATGCAGGCGGAGCTCCCCCTCCCGCCGCGCCTCGGGCCGGACCTCATGATCAACCCCCTCTGGTTCCCGCACCTCTACCCGCCCGTCCCGCCGCAGTTCGACCCGCTCAACTTCCTCATGGACCTCCGCGCCGGCGCCGGCGCTGCCTGGCCCGAGGGCAAGGCGCCCGAGACCAAGGAAACGCCCGAAGAGCCGCTCAACTTGCAGGTATTTTGAATACCGGCTCACTTCAGGTGGGTTCAGAGACCAATCAAGACCATCCAATGGTGTCGTGACAAGCCGTGTAGCAATGATGCGGGTAGAAAAGGACATTCGGCCGTATGTCTGTCAAACAGAACTATACTGCCGTGCTAGGGAAGAACGCCGTATGAACCTTCAGGCGCTTCCGAATTTCCTTTGATCAAACACGAATTTCTTGATAAACTTCTGAATATTTTTCTTCTAATTTTTCAGATAATTTTGTTCGTAATTTCACCTAAAGTTCCTGAAAATTTCAGGGGAAAATATACATATCTTTACTAAAAAATAAACATTTTATCGAAGGTCATTTGGCAACTCTCGAATGTTTATACGGCGTTCTTCCTTAGCACGGTAGTATAGACGAGTGGGAAAGATAGGGTGTGCTCTAGAAAGCTGCATAAGAAACAATATAAAAGTGGGCGTAATTCCCTTTGTAAGACAAACGCAGGGAAGAATAGTGTTCTGGTTTTACGGATTCACCCCTTTTCCCTATTTGCCAAACGTGGGTCTAAAGGGGCCCCCTTGACTAGGTGGCCAGACACTTTACCCAATTTCGTTCGGTCCAAAGTTTTTATGGTCCATTTATAAAGTCTTTCTAAAAGTTTTTTGTGCAATGTCATTGAACTAATAGTTTACTAAGTCCAGTTACAAACAATAATATGGGTGCTGAGATTCCGTCAAATAGTAAAATATAACCCTTAGATGCCAAAGCAGAGTACAATTGACCCAAGGATCGCTGAAAAAACGTGCCCCGCGGGTTTTATCGATCCGGCACATCCGCAACTTAGACGTAGGTAACAAAGACATCTTAAAAAAAGAATATGACATCAAATTGAAACAAAAGAAAAATCAAGTATCAACACAGCTGAACTGACGCTTTTGGGTCTATTTTTAAAAACTTTCCTCCCCAATCAAAGCGACAATTCATTGGCAGTATAGAACAGAGCATCACGAGCTCACACCCATCGCGCCTTCAACTTTGAAAATACTTCACGGACATCCATCAAGCACGGATAGTTGTATCCCTGCGCCGTCATCAACGCGTGTCCTTTCCCTTGCTCCATTTCCATACGGTGTTGGCTCTGTTTTTCTCATTTGTAGTGGTGCTTTAAAGGCTGCGTTATAGCAAAGTAGCCGAAGATAGGAGAGATGTAATCGGGCCTTGTTTTTTACCTTCTCTCCCGAATGTAAGCGAAACATCATTGACACTTGACAGCATAGAGCGGGAGCATTGCGAGTTCACGCATCGCGCCTTCAATTTTGCAGATACAACACGGACATCAATCCAGCACGAATAGTTGTATCTCTGCGCCGTCATCAAAGCGAGCCCTTTCTTTTTTCTGTTTTCATGTTATGTTGGCTTCGTTTGTCTTATTTGTAGCGGGCGCTTTGAGGGCTGCGTGAGCAACACAGCCAACGTTTAACTTGGATTAAATTTGTTGACAAAACTAGGTATCGGGTAAAAAACTTTGGGTAATGTGTCTAGCTACAGTTAGGAGAACTTAGTTGTATTGCACACCGCTTTAAAATTTCAGCTAACAATTTATTTATTTTAATTTGTTAGCTCGGCTCTTCTGCGGCGCAATTTCAGGGAGTTTTTATTAAACTACCAAAAGAATTTGCAGGAAAATTTCAAAAAAAAAAAAAATATTGCAACGGCCGATCTTGAGTAAAGAAGTGAAAGAGATGAAACCTCACGACTTTGTGGTGTTATGTAACACTCTCACCTCTTTATTTAAGGCTGCCACAGAATTTAGAGAATGAAATTTCCCTGAGGGAATCAGGGAAATCAGCAGTGGCGTGGCGTGAATAATCGATTATCGATATCTCGCCATTTGAAACTATGGTAAAGAATCGATTACTAAGGTGTTCGCTGCGAACACCCTGATAATCGATCTTTTTTCATAGGTTTAAATGGCATAACAATCGATATATCGCAATTCACGCCACGCCACTGGAAATCAAGGAAATTGGCATTCCCCTGACATATTTTGGTGAAATTCTTTGACCATTGAAGATATGCTACATGATTAATAAGGCATTATTAGGAATAGTTTTCAGACAAAATGTGATGTTCGAAACGTCAAACCCATTCTATAGACGGCAAATAGAGGTGGCTCAACAATTTTCCCTGACATTTTCGTCCTTTCCCCTGACATTTCCAGGTTTTCCCATACTTTGTAAAATTCCCCGACATTTCCCGGTATTCCGTGACTGTGGCAACGCTGTATTCTAAAAATGTATTCTGATTGGCAGGTGGAGGACAAAAAGCTGGAGCCGATCCTGGGGTTTCCGTTCTTCAAGCAACGGCAGAGCTCGGCGTTCCGGGTGCCGCAGCCGCGGGGGCAGCCGGAGGTGGCGCGGGCGTCCGTGCAGACCAAGAGCACCAACTACATCCTCCAGAACCTGCAGAAGATCTACATGGGCATCAAGCAGGAGGAGGAGGAGCGGAGCCACAAGAAGGAGTCCGAGCCGGAACCAGAACCCGAGACTGCGGCTCCGGAGACTTCTTCCGAGGAGACCGCCAAGGGGGACAAGACCAAGGACCTGCGGGCGCTCATCGGCCTCGAGTTGGTCGTCGACTACGTGAAGAAGGGCGAGAAGCCGAAGGGTGATAAGTCGGAGGAAGGGTGCTCCGTCAAGGACGAGCAGGACCAGGACCCGGAGCTCTCCGACTCCACGGACGAGACCTTCTCGCACCACTCGGATATGTCTTCTTCGCACTCGCAAGGACTCGTCCAGAATTCCGGCGGACCCTACTTGATGTAGACCTGGATGAATCGTTTAATCCGTGATATTAAGTGATCGCACTCGAGAAGCCTGCGGACAGGGTGGCAAAATTTTACGAAAAATAAAATCTTGAAATTTCATGTGAAAAATTTAATAAAATCTCCGAAATTTATGAAAGATATTGAAAAATGCCGGTTCCTTTACACGTTTCGCACGATGTAAAAATTGTGACTTTCCTCTGTTTTTGTATGTTTGAGTGCGGGTTGCATACTCTGGCCCCTGAAACATATGAAATAGTTCACAGCCTCGTGAAATTTCATGAAATATTTCACTCAAATTTCCAACCTTTCATTTCTTTCTTACGTTTCATGTCACCCTGCCTGCGGACCGATTAGGCGCTGAAATTGGACCAGGTAAAAGCAGAGAGGGACCAAGCCACACCCGCTATTGCCTAATTTAATTAGGCAGGTTAATTTTTTTACAAGAAAACGTTTGTGCGGATTCTTTAAAAAATGTGAGGACTTTGCCTCGTACTACGCAAGAAATTCACTGAAACTTGCACGAAAATCCGCACGACCGTCTTCATATGAAAAATTAAACTGTCTGCCAATTAAATTTGTCTTTAGCTGATGTGGCTTGGTTGCTCTCTGCTTAACGCGGTCCGATTGGAGCGCATTTAGCGAATAAGAACTAGTGCGATTTACAGTGTTGTAAAAATGTTGATTCTCCATACAAAAAGTATCTCAGAATAGCAAATATTTTCAGCTTTCCACCAAGAGACTGTTAATTTCAACGGAAAATAATGGTATAAATTTTAACACTGTGCAAATATTGAGTATTTTTGAAAGAAAAGAGGAAGATGCCATGGCCGGATTTACCTATTTGCCGCCCATAATGGGCCGCCTGTATTTAATTTGCCGCCCCCTTCTTATTCGTTTTGAAACATCAATAAAAACCATCAAATGAACGTGCCAGCGGGGGAGGGGTGCATAAGACGCGTTTACTAGTGTTGGACACATTTTTTTGCGAAAGCCCTGTCGACACTATAATAGCAAAAGTTCACGGAACTTTGTGCGAAAGTTAAGTATCGTAAACCTATCTCTGTGTGGACAAGGCCTTCCATTCATAAGAAATGAACGAAAAAATTATGAAAGAACTAACATAAATGTGGATTAATGATTTTAACTTCCGCCGCCGCGCTGCGCTGATCGCACCGTGTTTGGCGCAATACGTGAAGTATTCCGACAGTCTTGTAGGCGCTGTGAGTTTCACGCCAACCGCTGCTGAACGCACTCTGTTTGATGCAATGCGTGAAGTATTCGTGCAGTCTTGTAGGCGCTAATACGTGTTACATGCCGATCGCCGCGCCGAGGGCTTCTCCTTTTCATCTCAAGTCTTCGTCATCATTTCTCTCTACGTCGCGCCGTTCCGAGCCAAATTGTGTGTTTTAACGATTTGGTTTCTTCTTAACTTGAATAATTAAAGGTGCTGTCTCTTGTATCTCTGAAAGACGAGAAAAATTAGAAATTATTATACTCTCAGGAAATGAGAGATTTTGTCACCTTCTCTCGTTTGTAATTTTTTTTTTAAATCCGATTTTTTTAAACCTACATTTAAAAAAATTGCAAAATTTGCCGCCTCCGCCTATAGATTTGCCGCCATGGGCTGCGGCCCATGTGGCCACCCCCTTAATCCGGCCCTGGAAGATGCACGATTTTGAAAACACTATAATCGCGCTGGTTCTTTTTTGCTAAATGCGATCCAATTGGACCGCGTTAAACAGAAAGGAACCAAGCCACCACATCTGCTGTTGCCAAATTTAACTGGGCAATGTAATTTTTTACATGAAAACGGTTGTGCAGATTTCCTTGCAAATTTCAGTGAATTTTCTCCATAGTACGAAGCAAATTCCTTCAAATTTTCAAAGGAATCTGCACAAACGTTCTTTCGTTAAAAATTAAAGTGTTCAGTTAAATTTGGCAAAAACAGATGTGGCTTGGTTCCTTTCTGTTAAACGCGGTCTAATTGTGAGTGTGACTGGGAGTTCATGCAGGAGGTTCTCGATAAGCTTCATCCTGGAGGGTTTCAAACTCGATATCACTGAAGGGAAAGTCGCTGCTTAAATTGACTGATTTCAGCAGAGAGAACCCGTATGTGACTCGTAACAAGATTGTGATGGTGCAGTATGCGCATGGTTCCTCTAACTTTTTGTTTCGTTTTAAGGAGAGATACGCCAGAATTATACTTTCCAGAAATTTTAATGGAATAGGTATTTGATTCTATATTTGATGTGTGGCAAAGAAAAATCAAAAGAAAATTCGATGGGTTTACCTACTTTTAAAAATGACAAGTAGGTTCCAAAAACTGCAAATCAGAATGATTTTTAGTATCAGGTATCGCCATCCTATCCTAACTCCTACTAGGTATGTATTTTTGGCATCACGAACTTTGAATTAGGTACGTAAGACTGACCAGACCAGAGACTACCCGACACCCTCCAATTATCCAAACCATAACGGAGAAAGCCTGAAAATACCGAGAAACAAAGAATTCTTTTTCTAAGAAATATTACTATTAGGTATTATTTTTGTCTTTTTGGAAGCGGGAGGGCTTACATACGAATAAACTTGACCCCCTCCCCTTCGAATGACGCCGTAAGGCGAGCTCACGTCCCCTTTAAAGTAATCCCCCATAAAAAGACCATAAAATACAACTCTCAATTGGTAACAATATTAAGTAAAGAGGTGAAATGTTTTTCAACATGTATTATACGGTTGTTTCCAATTCGCCTTCAGCTGCGTTCGCAGCAATTGTTGTTACGAATATGTTGTGCGTGCTGGTCTCAGCTCAATACATACTCGACTCTCTGAAGGCGTTGAATGTGCGAAACTAGAGCACTCTGTCGGCTAACAACAGGAGTGAGATTGAGTGAATCGCTAAATCCCTATTTCGTTCGTTCTCTGACAGATTGCGCTACTTGCGCAGTTGCGCATATAAAACGCCTTCAGAGAGTCGAGTATGTAATAAGTTAAAATCAGCACGCACAACATATATTCAACAACAATTGCTGCAGACGCACCTGAAGGCGAAATGCTTTCGCACATAAAACGCCTTCAGAGAGTCAAGAATGTAATGAGCGGAAATCGGCGCGGAAAACATATTCGTGACAATTGCTGCAGACGCACCTGCTGAAGGCACGTTGCTCTTTAAAAAAAGAGTACACTAGAAAGTCTGCAAGTAGCGAAAGGATATGTATTAGATCGACAAGAATCGAAAGAAAAATAAAAAACGTGAACCGATCAACACCGACTCAATGGACAAGTAAATGAAAAAGCGGATCAAAATTAGTGGAAAACTTGCATTTACTGTGAAACTTTTAAAATTGCGATACCTCGAAATTAGGATCAGCTAAGATTTTTACTTTTCGCGATTTTAAGTCCTCTAGACTCACCCCCTGCAAACCGTTTGTGGGTAAATTTTTGTCAGATTTTTTTTTTGCTTCAAAACCACTGTGCATGAAGAGGAGTGGAAGATGAAATACCATTTTTTGGTGAGCTTACAACAATCCACGATGGACGTTTTTTTTAAAGGACGGTTGATAGATTTCAATTGCTCCACAAATGCCCAATTAGCATGGCGCAGCAAAAATATTGAAATACTTTTGCAATTTTATCGCATTAAATTGCAATTTATTTTACCACGAAATCGCAATATTTTTACATTATCGAGTCAATTAATGCCGAGTTTCAACAGGAATTAATATAATATGTTCAATGTGTAAGAGAAGTATGCAATTTGCGATACAAAAAAATTGCAACTTACTTGGTTTAATTTTATTGCAATAAATATCAATAAGAGAGCCCCTTCAACCACAAATCTTGTCACATGGAAAAGATGGAAATAAAGAGGAGGGTTGACTGTAGCAGAGCCGATTTTTACGATGTTCTAATGATTTAAAGAATTCCTCGATGAGCAAGTTCCAACATTGCCTTTTCCCCTTCTAGGTACTTTAAAGTGAGTGAATGGTCTTTTCAACACTTTGCCTGCATGCAAAATCAAGAAATTTTAAGTTTTCAATTGCTGTACCATGGGAATTGTTAAATGTTCAAATGTGATTAATTTTTATATTTTTCCTGTCTCTGTGAGAGTCTCCAGTGCAGATGACATACGAGTAATGAATGTTCCACCCTTGTCTAGCTCAGAGCTGGACCTACCTTTCTTACTACCAGTATCAAGGGCGATTGTATCAGACCCTTCAAATTTTTTGATCTGGTCTGAAGTATGAGTTTATATTAGTGATGATTCCTTCAAGTATAGGTACTGTCTATCAAATACATGTAACAAGAAAAAGTTGGTTTAAAAATTAGGAGGAAGAGAGCAGAGCTCTGTTTTTAAACATTTTCAAGAGCCTTTGCCAACAAAGTTAAAATGTTTGTGATAACTCTTTATACTAGTTAAGAATTTGGCTCTTCCTTAGAAATACTAAACAAATTGGACTGCATTGAGTTGACTGCTAAATAAAAACGTTAATATCTTGGGTCGGGGTTAATTTTAGTGATTTTTGTTGGAAGCGTCAGGTACAATGTGAAATTTTATAGAGAAATCATAAATCAGAATGCTTACATTTGCACCTTTTCTAGCGGACCAATGTGCTAAATTGTTTCAGAGCCTACTGTCAAGGGAGTGAGACTGTTTCTCTCTCGCTAGTCGAGGACAACTGGAAATATTAAGAGCCAAAAAAATCATAGTTGAGGCATGAGATTAATGAAGGATTTTTCATTAATCAGGTGAATTACTGAATGATACCTGTGAGAGAGGGTCAATTTTTTTTTAACTAAAGTAAGGCATGGTGCTAAATTGTAGTAAAAACTAAAATAAATGATAAGTAAGGAATTAGAATAATACTTAAGTTAAGCAGAAAAAAGAACTTCCATGATAAGATGCTTTACTGTTATGGATATTATTAATTTCACAGACTGATGAAAATGGAAAGTTCCTTTCCAAGCGACTATGAGGAAGGTAATTTGAGGAATGGGTCTGTTGCGTGCAATAGACACAGCCAACTGAATACACTCTTTGAGCGTAAATTCCCTACAAAATCAAGTTAAACACATAAAAAAGTCTGACATCCACCCCTTAGTACGCAATCCGTGTAATTTGTAACACGCTTTTTCAAGTTTACCGCCTATACAAGCGGTTTTTCTTGGTGGCCAACAGTCAGGTTTGCCCAGGGAGAGACCAAACCTAAATCAACAAACAATCTTGTGAACTGTTATAAACTCTCCTTGCTTGAGATTTCAATTGATTAACAGCCCCTGCTTTTGCAAAATAAAGGAAGAAAAAGGAAAGGAATGCTTGAGAACAATTGAAATCATACAATAGAAAAAGTTAGTGATTAGTTTTTCTCACTCCTCCGCCTGCGCAGATCTAGTCAGCCGTGACCGAGAAAAACTGCCTGCAGACGCAGGAAACTTGAAAATCATGTTACAAACTACGTATATTGCGCTCTAAGAAATGGATTTCAGACTTTTATGACAAGTCCAGCGTGAATTTCGTGCAATTTTACCCGTAGAGAATGTATTTGTTTGGCTGCATCTCTTGCATGCTTGTTTGATTTGTTTCTTTCTTCCACTCCTGTCAATTATAATTCTTCTCTAACTGAGAGAAATTTTCAGGAAGAGTTCAAGTTCACATTCAGTTCCAATTCAACAAATTAAAGAAAGAATTTCCAAAAAAAGGTATAATTTGTTTGATGGTTCCCTGTAAATTCATTGACCGACAGAGTAACTCATTTCACAAACTTCCACAGTAATCTAATAGCTTCTAAATTCTTCCCTGCCTTTTATTTTACAAACCTATGGGTTGTGATTGCATACTGATTCATGAAAAAATAAATAAATTATTATGTACCTTCCCTTTCTTGCGGGGAGGAAAGCCCGAAACGAGAAGGGTTATAACAACGAAACATAAAATCTTCCAAGCGGAAACTTTTTTTTTTTTGTTTTTTACAGTTAATGTTAAGGAGTTTTTGTTTGTTTTTTTTTGTTTATGTACATATATAGTTCAATAAATGTTCGATGTAGTTAAGATAATTTGTGAATTCAAATAAATGAATGTTGTAAATAATGAAAATAAGTTGGTACCACTTTACTTTAATCTCACACTGAATTGGAGAAAAAGATGATGAGCAGAACTGAAGCCAGCTGAAAGCTTGTATGCAAAGGTAATATAAGGTTTGGATGAATACTGGTGAAGATTTGACCAGAAGAGTTAATGTACTGCCATTTTCGTGATCAATATCACTTGATATTTTTCAATGAAAGTATAATTATCAGAGAACATATGGATTGCATTTTGCAAAAAGGAACCACTAGCATTGCAATGTTGCTAAGATTGTGCAACTTCTTTTGTCTTGGAGGAAAAACCAGGTTATCCCTTAATAATTTCTATTTTACTCGCTAAAAAATGTAAATTTAAGAAAAAAATTACCATCTAAATTTCATAGTTTTTCACAATTTCCGCAATTTTATTGCAAAGGATGAAGTTGCACGATCTTAGTATCATTGCAATGCTAGTGGTTCCTTTTTGCAAAATGCAATCCATATGATTATGTTCTGGTAAGGGTGAAAAACACAGTGTATGAACTTACGACATTTAGCATTAAATATCCTTGATTTCAACATTTTTACAGAGGACTCTTGATGACGTACAATAATTGAAAAACCAGGGGCAGACTGGGATCAGAAGAGTGATTGGGAATATCAGCCTATAGTGCTTGAGAATATCAGCCTATAGTGCTTGAACGGACCCAAATCAGTGGTTTTCTGCATTAGAAGGAGATAAATTGGTCTGAAATTATCCTAAATATTGACAGGCCCATCAAGATTTCTTGTGGTGTTCGTACCTGCTTGCCCGCTCTTGTGTAAAAAATTATACTTGTTGCCTGTTTTTACTATTAATGAAACTTGAGCGAGTTAAATTGAGTACCGTGGCAAATTGGCTAATTTAATTGTGAGAAAATTAAAAATACTTGTGCAATTTGGAGCTCACCACCTCCTTTCCATTGTAATGAAAAAAATTCCTGCATTATAACATTATTGTTTGGCTTTTTAGTTGTTATACTTAACATGATTAAACAGCTTTAAAAAACAAGAAAATTTTTTTTAAAAAAAATGAGCTAATTTATTTCAACAAATAATATAAACCACCAATTACCTTATTTAGTGCCACTAGTGATTTCTAATATGATAAAAATCATCACATAATAATTAATAGGCAGTTCAAACTCTTTAAAACAAAAAATTTCTTTCACAAAAAAAGGCAACAAAATCCTTGCGAAAATAACCATGATAATAAATACGGATTAAAAAGTCTAATAGACAGTAAAAGAAAAAAATATTTTTAGATACATAACACCATGGCTCTTTCTGGCTCTCAAACATAAAGACCTAAAAAATTCCCCAAATTTTCTGACCGATGCAATGATTTAATAGATTAAAAAACGAGAAGTAATTCCCACACACTTTTTTTTAAATAGACCTTAGAATTCTCCAATACGACCAATTAATCTTCCAATTTTCTGAGGGAAAATTCTTCCAAGATTTTGTGTCAAATTTGCAGGCACCCAGCAAACAGCATTGACATTACACTAGGATACAATGGAGCTGTGCATACCATACATATAGAAGAAAGAACATAAGTGCAAGACTTTGAAGCGTCAAGTTTTGCATCCTCGTGGTATGTGTTCAGCGTTAAACGATTTTATTGAGGGCGTATTAATTGAACAAATACGTGTGTGAGAGATACTGCATGAATTCATCATAAAATTTGAAGAATTCATCTTTCATTATGTTGTAGATATTTCAAAGAGTTTGTTTTATTTTTGATTTGTTTATAGAAATTATGTCTGGTTTGTTATGTTACGGACTCAGCCTGACAGAAACTTAGAATAAACATTTCATAAAACTTTCGACTAAGTAACCTGAATTAATTTAAATAAGAGAAAATATATAAAACAGTAAAAAAAAAGTAAACAGAATATACATTATACACAAATTACAAAACGTTACTTACGAGACAAGATATAAAGCTATAGCAGAGGTTGGAAACGCAAAATGGATAGAGCCTCGTTGCGAACTTTACGTTTCGCAACTGTTTCCGCGGTAAAACCAACAGATCGTAATTTCGACTTTATTGCCTCGGGTTGATTTTCTTCGATGACCACAAAATAACCGACAGAATTTTTAGAGAGGAGGTATGACAAGTTTCCCAATAATCTGAAATGAATTACAGGAAGACCATCATTAGAAAACTACCTAACTTATGAAGTACTGATGCATGAAAGTCTTTAACAGCTGTGCTGTTTCATGAAAAGTGTATTTAAACACTGAAACTAGAAAAATATGTGTCGCTGTTGATAACCTCACATATTTCCTCTTAAATTTTACCTTCCTCAGAAGCATCAAATAAGCATTATGGCACTTGATTATGTATGATTCCTGTTTGCCTTTTTAAGTATACATGCATCTTGAAATCTCATGTTAAAATGACGAGTAATATTCTCGGAGAGAAGTGAGAGATGGGAAGGAACCCTGAGACAATCAGGATGTTTCAATGCAAAACAAGATACATCTTTTTCTAATTTCACTGCTGGTAAAATTTGTTGAAAGTTCAAAAAGGGCCAAAATTAGAGTGATCTGAGACAATATCTTACTGTGCTTTGAAAGTCAAATTCTGTTCAACCTTAGATACATGATATTACAATGCTGGTGTCAAGAAAAATGTATCAGATGAGTTCGCTCAATACCTAATTGTTCAAAATTAAGTTAATTTAAAGGTACAAGGCTGCTATTATTGGTCAGGTTCAGGAGAATTCATTTTCTACTTTAGAAAAATCAGTTTACCTCTGAAACAAAATCACAAAAGAAAAAAACGAAATCTTTCACCACTGACCAAGATATGAACAATAATGTTCTGCGAACTCATCTTACCTATCTAAAACTTGCCGTCCAGTTTTACCGCCTGCCCAGGATGCAACTATTCCACCTGACTCAATTTCCTCATCAGGAGTGACAACATAAGGAGGATTGAACACCAACAAGTCTACCTGATTGTTTAGGCACAGCGCAGAGTCTAAGTCCATCTGAATAACGTCAACCTGGAGGATTGAAAGAAAATTTGTTAGAAAGAGCAAGAGTGCGTCATATCATGGAGGTCGAAAGTTGTGTTGTATTTGACGGTATAAACAAAACTAGTATGGTACGGTCATGAGAGTAGAATGAGGAAAGAAAGGCTGCCAAAAATTATGCTTGATTTGTTTCCTCCTGAGAGATGACAAAGACAACATCCAGTAAGAGGGTGGCAACACAGGGTTGAATCATATACTTCAATTACATCAGATTCGTAGAATTTTGACGGAAACTTGATTTTGAAAATTTGGTTACTGCTCCCTCCAATACCTTGACAAAACACCCTACACAGTCACTTATCAAAGCCGGCTGAATAGTACAATTGTACAGGTTTGTAATACACAATATTCAATAAGGCACATGATAAAGATTAGTACAGCTCTTAGAACCAAAATTTCAAAACATGCCCTTTCAGGAGAAACGAGAAACATACTTGTTTCATGTGCGGATTGACAGAGGATTGGAGAGTGACTTTTTCCTCACATTATCTCCAATTTGTAGAGGTGGCGTCTTTATTATTTGCACTACATCAAGCTTGGAGAAGAGAAAAAAAAGTTGCATTCACAACTTACTTGTGCATCATTTATCCGGGCTGTCTCACAAGTTGCTACACACGCATCCCAATTAATATCCACTGCTATGCAAAATGAACGAGCAGCTAGAAATTTGCTGAGAGCTGTAATGATGACTCCAGAGCCAGAGCCAACTTCCAACAAAACCAGAGGCTGAATTTTTTCTTGAATGAAATGGAGATCTGATTCGAGGGCATCCAAGAGCAAAAAAGAGTCTTCGCTTGGCTCATAGACATTTTCTGATAGATCACTCGACCAATCCTAAAACGGTTTTATCATAAAGATGCATGATGCTGGTTAAATGATTCAATCAGCTCTCACTAAAGTCACTAATGTCCATTTTTTTCAGTTAATTAAGGAAGCTGCAAAAAATATACAAGTCTCTAAATCGCATTACAGGGCATATAATGTCCAAATGCTCAGAGTTAGGATGACGGATTGTGGAAACGGATACATGGATAGTCACCACTTCTCTTGCCAGGATACAGTAATTCAAAAGAAATAAACACTGGACATTAGTGAATTTTGCATGAAGTCTCAAGGATGCAGGAAGTTCATAGGTTTCCCATTTTTTAAATTTGCTTTTCCATGTTGAAAACTCCTTTCACCACAAAAGTTTTTTAAAAAAATTACCTTTTTTCAATTATACTCTTTCCTTACAAGTTGCCATAATATCCATGCTGGTGCAAGTTGTCCTTCCCATTTTTAAGACCCAATTCCTCAGTTTCCCCATTGGTAAAACTTATTCTCAGGGCCTTCTCATTTTACCTCGCAACTGATTGCAACTGGCAGGTTAGAAGTTTCGGCACCCCTTGAGTTTTTAAAATCTGAGTTTCAAAGCTGTTCAATTTCTTCAAACAGTTTTTTGAAGAATTATAAAGCTACTTTTCCCTCAACCTGATCACTACTGGGAGAAATTTATTTCAAAATTGATACTTTCACTTTCTGATGACATTATACTCATCATCATCGTCATCATCATCAGATGATTGTTCTAAATAGACGGTGAACAAGGGTTAAAACTGACTTAGGTGTGATATTAAGGACATGGATAAAAAATAAAAATAAATTGCAGTGGTATGTGTCCTGTTTAAGATAATAAAAATAGATTCAACCTATCATTACAAGAAAGATTCGAATGCTGGAATATTAATCAATTGAAGTGAATCAAATTAAATCCTTACACCACCTTATGGTGTATAATGAAAAAAGAACATTGAATACGACCAGAATAAACTTTAAATTTGAAGCTTCTGAAAGATTTGCAGTGATTTAATTGAAGAAAATCTACAAATTTTAATCGCATGCACAAATGGCAAAAGACAACGTGAGAAAGTGACCAGCAGCTTTCTTAATCTTTTGAATTGTGATGCAATAAGGCTCAAACAGTGCGGCAAATGAATAGGTCTTTTGCTTGCGTCAGGGATATGCAAATTAAGAACTTTCTTTTATGTATAATTTTGCAAGAAACACAATGAATCCACTGGTTTCCCTGAGAAAAACTCAAACGCTAAAAAATAAAACAATGCTTCAAGTGGGAATTTATTTTTAAGTGCCTTCAATAGTGTCAACGTTTCGATCCAGATGGAGGGAAACCAGTACGCAATTAAGAAGGACACAATATCCAATCAACATTCAGGATAAAAATATACTTACTGGAGTAGCCAATTTAGGAACACTGCTTGACATATTTTTTTGTGGAATATACAAAGCTAGGACATCTGCGATCGAATCTGCACTTGCTCTTTTTCTGCCTGAATCTGAACTTTCCTTAACCTTTCCTACACAAAAAGAGACGGGTTTTATTGATTATTGAGTGATTTATGCTGTATGTGATAAATAATTTATACAAATTGCAAGTTGATTTAAAGACTACCTTAGGCTCTAGGCGTACTAAGGCTTTAAGCAATAGGGTCCAACCTGCCTCCAAGTTAGATCAACATTTAGAGCTAAATTCTCCTCCTTTCATCACTTATTTATTATCAATTTTACTATGGCATTAAGAAAAACTCTAAATCTCTAACTCTACCTCTCATATTAGGGCGTATTTCTGCCAAACGGAACTATGCGCATTAAGACATGAGCCCTGAGACTCACTAGGTTATATGCATAACAGGGCTCATATCATAATGAACATAGTTCCGTTTGGCAGAAGTACGTCTTAAGTCTACGTTTTAAATCTTAAGAGGTGCTTTATCCCCAGCCCTCATTCATTGTAAGGATGGCTCGCCAACCAAAGATTGAATGCTGTTCTGATAGACGCTTACTAGACTGTGGTAAATTTGCTTACTGCTACAGCGGCTTTTCCAATTCTCGGTGTCGTTTTGACAACACCTCTGCCCTTGGAGGGAGAAAAACAGGAGGCTGCTCTGGACTGATGGTGGGTCCAATCAGAACCAAATAAGTTTGCGGTTGCCTTCCTGATTGGGCATAATAAACGTTGCTTAAAACGACCTAACTCCAAAAGGGCAAATCTACTCTAAATAAGTTTACTTCCTTTCGCAATTAGAATTTTTGTTTTTCGGAACAAGCCCCATGGCTATAACATCATGTCAAATTTTTATCTCTGATCTTGGAGGTATCTTGTGCTCAACATTTAATTATTTTTGACATAGCTAATACTACTTAGCGGAGCACTAATGATGAGTAATTTTCGAGAATAATACATATTAATACCTCACTTATGCCCAAGCAAATTTTGCATCTTCCTCACTCCTAATGGTACTTTCTATACCACATCCTTAACATTCATTTACTTACTAAGATGATGAATGACGATCAACAAACCTGAGCTGCCTGGAGAATGTTACTAACAATCAGTATTTTTTGACGAGCATTTGCTAACTTGGTGACGTAGACATCTAAATTGATTGGGCTTGACTGCTCAGCAGATATTTTTGCCAACTCTTCTTGTAGACCATCAATCTGCTTCTTCAGCTCTTGCTGACTTAACCTGTGATTGCACAACATTTCTTTCATTTGGTAAATACGCAAGCAACTACGTTGAAAAAAAAGAGGTACTTTTGCAGGTAAGGTAAATTAGATGGCCTAAAAGTAATTCAACGAGAGAGAATTCAGTAATACATTCTTAGAATATACATTGCAGTGAGCACAAATTCCTTTCTTCGAAAATGAATTATACAAGATACATATCAAAACAAATGAAGAGCAATACTGCCAAGCAATTATAACGCTTTTCTGAATAGTTTGATTACTTCCACTGCTGATCTGTATGGTTTGGTATGCAATTCTGTTTGAGTTGAATACGATGTTAAATTCTTAGCTGCTTAATTGACACATGCTTGATTGGATAGTAAGTTCAGCTAAAATAAGTTGTGAATGATCTTTGCCTCTAGGAAACTTGATGTTAGGGAAAAAGGCTGAGATGATACGGTACCTCTGGCAAGATTGCTATTATGTTTGACAACCTGAAGACAAGTATAAGAGTAAGTCTGGTTTATACGAAGAAGGAAGTATAATGAGGTCATAAAACTCATACAATTTTTTCTTCTTAAAATAGGTAAGGACGTTGCCTACGAGAATGAAGAGGCCGTAACTACACACCTGTGATGCACCGCTAGGAGATGAAACTCGGCCGCAGTTTGACACGTGTTCTTATGGTAGAACGCCTGACGCGTGTTTCTTTTGTGCCTGTATCTTCACAGGGATTGAACTGATGCAAAAATTCATAAAAACCTTTTTGAGAGAGGATGAAATTTCACATCAGAAAACTGACTAACCCATGTATGACATTGTTTAATAATTGAGGAAATGAAAGCGTAATACAGAAAATCGTTACTCCTCTCAGATTCTAAAGCGCTGCTCAAGCAACTTCAGCCAATCGAGGGCCACTCTGACTGGTCCATGCAGCGACTGCCTCACTCATCGATGCACCAATGACCTGGAGATGCTTGTTGTTTTCGGTATGTATCTACTAGCTTTACGTCACAAAACTGACAAGTTAAGGCCTCTCCATTCTCGCGGGCAACGGTAAGGAGAAGAGCATTTGCCAGGATGATTAGTATTAGTGACTGCAACCTGAGAAAGATCTTAACAACCTTCTAGAGCTGGTCAGAAGTGCTTTCTGGTTAAATCTTTGCAAGACAAATCTTAGATCAATACGTACTCTTATCACTAAAATAATACAAACTTTTTTAGCAGTGCTTGGATAAGTGTTTTACAGGGGAAGAAATAATGGGAGTTTACCTGCAAGCAGCCACTCTTTCGTCAAGAGTGTCAATAGTTGGCTTTAGCAAGCACATCAAACCCTCTGCCAAGGCATCTCTTGTGGGATTTTCACAGAAGTCTTCCGTCTTATCGTCTGCAGATGTATTGGTGCTTTGACTTTCAACATCCATTAATATTTCGAATGGAGAGTTATTGTGCAATTTATGAATTTGCAAATGATGAACAATTAGGATTGTCTTCTCAGCTGAACAAGCATTAAGGTTTGCGTGAATGAGGAGCGGAGGAATCCTACAAGTTTTCGGTGAACTAAAGTCAAGGTGTGAGGGAAAATGGAGAGGAAAGTTAATGAGTAGAAATAAATAGAGCGGCAAACATCTGTACTAGTGAAAGGTCTAAAATAAAAATTTAACTAATGATAAATGAAATTCAGGAATACAGGGGCAGTCAACACACCAAGTAAGTCACAGGTTGCACAGGTAGGTACAGATGCACAGATGGTACAGGTCAATCAGAAAAAGTTAGGTTAAGTCAGTCAGAAAAAATTATAAACACAGCAACGGTTCGAAACAGCTGATCAACGACCTCTCAACTGTCAACAAATGTTTTGTTTATGTGCATGTGCAATTGTGCATATATGTGTATACTCAATACCATCTAATCATACCTGGCCATTGGAGAATACGTGTGAGAGTGTGTGAGTAATAGCTCCCGACGTAGACATAGCGGCCATAAAGTTGCTTAACGGCTCTGGGGTTCTACATAGACATTATAGTTCTTCCAGCGAATCCAAGAGATACTCTTATATTCAGCTTCTTTATCTCTACCCATTCTAAATTTTTCTTGTATGGAATGTAACAAAATGTGTTACAAAATAAAATTTCTACCTTTAAATCATAAGAGTTGAAGTGGTCCCCCCCCCNAGCGAGCTTCATGCACGCTCCACCAGCTACTCCCGCTCTGTGATCGCCTGCTCATTCGTAGGGGGTCTTTGCCTGCAAAAACGCTCAATCTGCAACATACATGAACGATAGTGCCGTTTCTGAAATTATTTTAATTATTTTTTCAATTCTCTGATCGTACTCATGTAAGTTTTATATTTGGGTCACATGTAAGTTATAACACCAAAATCCTTCATTTTCTGACTCTTTCAACAGGGTCGTATTCCTTGTCGTTCCCCAAATTGTCAGGCCCCTTAAATTGCATCGCTAAAGGGAGCCTTAACATTTAAAAGACAACCATGAATACGACCCCTAGGCATTATCATTGCTCGCATTGCATGCTAGTGATCACTGATTGGAAGTAGTGGTTACAACTGGTCAGGTACTGGTGATTTTTGCGCTTTATCCACCAGAGAAAACCTATCTTAAAAATCAGGTATACTGATAACACTAGTAAACAATCGAAGGCAACTGTGCCTTTTAAATCGTTACCAATAGAGTTCCTCCCGAAGATTCTCTGATCATGATAAGAAAATCCTTACAGGATTTTTTTCTGTGCTATAAAATAATCACATGATCTTACCCAAATAAAATTTTGCGTCACCAACTCCAGGATTAGATTTTAGAAATGTTTTGAAGGGACCAGGGATTTAGAGCTAAGGTATGAGGCATCATCATAAACTGAGTGGCATCGCTGTGCGAGGCAGGTATCCGGTGTGGACTTTGATGTCGCATTGGACAGTGCGCCGGGGGATCACATTTTCCCGCGAGGCGGCCTAACTTGGCGAGGCTGACACCTGGCATAGCCTCATGATGCCGCCAGCATCCTGGGACGGGCTGCCGGGCGGCTAGTTGCACCGGGCTGTGCTTTCAACCCTTCCGCGGCGTCCATCTCTTATAACTTCCCGGCGAGGCGCAGGCTGCTGCGCCAACGGGATATGTAGACGAAGGGGTGTTCTGCAAATTCATCGCCAAGTCTAAGGGTCGCATACCCCGGCAGTCTTCTGGGACAGCTCTGTAGGTAATGAGGCTGTGTCGCGGGACTGAAACGTGATGCCGCATCGAACCGAGAGCCAAGGCTCCAGCATCACAAGGTGAAGCGCATTTTGGTCCCTTATGTAGCATCAAACCTCAGCATCAATGCATAATTCTGGCCCGGCCCGTACGTCAGCATTGGGTATCGATGCTCAATGCCGGTACCGGCAGGTTGCGCGCATCAGGCGCGGCGCCGCATACTCGCAGGGCCACTACCTGGGCATACAGCATTGATGCTGATGCTGCGAGCCGATGCTGTGGGGCATAACCTCGAGAGGCGCTTCAAATCCCTGGAAGGGACCTTGAGGAATTGAATACCTTTTCGTCAATTTGTATTGAGAAATTTTGGTTTAGAATCCCTGCAACTTCTTGGTTGGTCCTGAGACTACTTCCTGCTTCTGTTAGGTTTTGCTCAGCCTTTTGTCCGAAAAGTCTATCCAAACTGGAGTTATGGTGGCTTGAAGTTTGCTGTTGAACCACCCGAGTTCAAAAAAAAACTAATTTAAAGTGTCATCTGACAACGTTTACAGCACTAAATTGCAGTTCAGCTTTACACCCTTTGTCAGCACTAAAAGAAACTGAACTCCTTCCATTTAATTCTGAAGGCCACTAGAGAACGTTTCCTGTCCAAAGTTCATAATCTCAATTTTCAAACCAACTTGACAATATTTGCTAGATGTACTCAAAATTTTGAATTTGTGGAGTAAGTACGGTCTTTTTTCATATTGATGGTCACCCATTTTGTTTTATTTTTTTAAAGTACATTCTTATTTGAAAGTGCTGATATTTTATTACAGGGTTCGGAAGTAACGCCTCAGAAATCAAGCTACCACTGAGGTCACTGTCATGAACGAAGCGGAAATGGCTTACTGCAAGTTGACTCCATGAGCAAATTTTCATGAACCACTTTTTCAACTGACGGTGATGACAGCCAGATTACTTGGCGCTGTCCTAATCTTCTTGAGCGTGCTAAGTTTCATCTTGTACTCTCTGTGGGTTGTGATCATCCCTGTGACAGGCTGGGATTTTTTGACTCCGTTTTTTCCTCCTGTTCGCTATGCCATGTTAATTCCAGCAGTAGTCGGGACGATTTTTATCTCTTCCCTCGTAATAATCACTACATATTCAATGAAGACTGTTTGAGCAGAACGTTTGCTCCAATACTTTGATGGCATAGTGGAAGTGGATCCAGCATTTCTCAGTTCAGAGTTGAAGGTAATTCTAAATTTCAATCTGGGAAGTTATTGTCGGTATCCTGAAATGGATTAAAATTATATAGTGTATGGGGGACTTGGGACTAAAATGCACGGAAAAGTGAGTGGAGCAAAACTCATTTGAGAAAGCTGAAGAATTCCTTGATGATGGCCGATTTTACGTTACCTGTCGAGTTCTAGGATCACCTAAATGACAGTTAAGGAAGATTACAATTTTGATAGAGAAAAAAGAACTTGAAGGTGCATACTTACATTCAATTTTGAAAACCCAGAAAAATCAGGAAATGCCTATTATGGAAGTCCGCAGATGATGGGTGTAGAAAGTGCCTTGTGCTTCCATTTTTAAAAACCTCATTCTTCCTGTAATGTTGATGTTTCTTGTCTCTCAATAAAACATGTATAGAGCTGGTGTCGCTAAGATTGAGCAACTTAAGTAGGCCTTTCATCTTCCCAGAAACCCTAAGTAATTCAACAGTTCTATCGAAGCTGCAGTGTAGAAAGATAACAGCCTTCCCATTTCTCAAACTAAATACTGTAGTCGCTGAAATGCAAGCCAACTATCCGCATGCTTTTACTTCATTCCTTTCGTTTAAATCCTCCAAATTCCTGGGCCGGGCTTTAAAAAATTGAACAAATTGCCCATTACCTCATGTTTATTCTGGAATACCATGTTTCCTCTACAGTTCTTGACGTGATATTGGTTTCATCACCCATCTTTATTCCTTGAAAACATGGGAAGGAAGCCATTATAGACCACAATAATTATATCAGCAATTGCAACAGCATTGTAAGATTTTTTACCAGGCTAAAGCTTCAACTGTTGAAGGAATCACCTAGTCAAACCACCATCAAATGAAGGCAAGCCTCTAGATTTTACCTGAATACCGCTTTTCCCAAGTTGAAAGGGTTATCAATCAGTCATTGAGCTATCAGGTAAATGCTGCCCTCGCGTTTGCTTTATCTAATCTAACTGGGCAGATACTGTGGATTGTCCACTTCAGCAGAAATATTTTGAGATCTACGATTTTCTTCAATCCCCCCCATCATATATGTATTTTTAAGCAATTTTGTCTTCAAGATTGTTGAACTATAAGTCCAATCGAGTGGGTTGTGCACTTCTCCACTCATCAAAAACCAAGTGAACATAACTCATAATTCAAATCCAAGCCTATTAAAATAGTCCGTCAGAAATTCAAAAGACTTTTTAAGTAACTTTCTCAACTGTCAGCTGCTGCTTAGGATCGTATCGCAAAGTAACATGTGCTCTTCAAAAGGCTCTCACCACTTAAAGGAATCAGTTGTGTTTCTGCTCGTTCAGTTTAACAATTTTTGTAATTACCTTTGGTACTACCCTTTTGTTCAAATGCGTCGTACCATTATTTAACTTTTTTAATATTTTTTTTCTGTTTAGGAACCAAGCCAGTGCGACTGCTCTTGGAAGTTGTTTTGAGGGAGGATTTTAGAAGGTGAGTAGGAAGTAATTCATAACTTTTTATGATCCTTTTTATTATTTCATACTTTTTAAAAACTCTCCAGCTAGTCACTTTTAGGTGATCCGTATTTGACAGGTGATTTCCTTCTCCTGTATTTTTAAAAATGAATGAAGAATTGAAAGTGGTAAGTAATGACAATATCATGAACACATCTCTTAAAATGAACGAAGAATTGAAATATTCAATAATAAAAGTACATATCATGTATTTTCAAAAATGAACGAAAAAATTGAAAGTGACTGATCACTTAATACCGATCACTTGTAATAATTTAATTTATTGTTTTTTTATTCTTTTTACATGAAATCACAGGAAAATTCATTTTCAAATAAAAATGCAAAAGGAAAATAATTAAAACAAAAATAGTAGTTATGATTCAATATAAACAAAAAATTAATTTAACTATCCAGAACTCATACTATTGAATACTTTAACTTTATGAACACATACATGTTTTACTATTGATAACTACAACTGCTATTGGCTCAAATGTAATCCAATATGAACACTGTCTGATAAACAGCTACTGAACTTGTGTTGTTTTTTTTGTAAAGGGTAGGGACCTCCTTTTTATCAGCCAATACTCCTCTTACCTTTGAATTTTTAAAAAGAGCAATTATATTTTTTTATTGTCCAGGGCTATTCTCATCTCAGTTTTTTTCTACATTAAGGCTGGCCCTTTGTGATGAAGTTAGTGTCATAAATGTCTAGTTATGAAGGCTAGCCCCTTCGTGATAAAGTTAGTGTCCTAAATGTTTAGTTATGAAATTGGTACAGTTATTTGGTAATCAATCTTCCTCAGTCTTTAAAAAATATAAACAAAAATCAAGATTTCTTTTCAGGAAGTTTTTATCACCATAAAGATATGCAAATTATGTTCATTTTTTAACATGTTCCCTGCCAATGTGTTTTAGTGTAGTTGTTCTTGCCAGGCTATAAGAATATGCAAAAAATAAAAAAAAAATTGATCTTTTCAATTCACAGTTTTTGCTGATTGCTGTGGCACAAGCGCTCCCATTGGCCACGCACATAAGTAGTGTTCTTCACTTAGATTCATGGAGAATTTACATAGTGCCTTTATTGCATCAGCATGCCAAAAACATGTCATTCTAAATGCTGGATGCTAAGACATTTTCAGCCTGGCGCATACAACACAATGATGGTCACCATAATAAGCTTGTGTCAATGCACTTTTCATCCTTTAATGCTTTGATTCATAACCCTTCGGTTAGTATAATTCAGTGGACCCGTGGCCAAATTTTGAAGAAAGGCTAATTTTATCATCATCATCATCTCACGAACTTTGTGTCCCCTCCCTCCTCCCCCTCTCATCGTATGAAATCTCAAATATTAAAAACTAAAAAAACGTGTAATGCTAATGCTAAAATCTTACTATTTGTAAACTGAAAAATAATTTTCAAGCACAAATTGTGACAAAAATCAATGATACCCACCAATTTTTTCTTTAACAGCTTTCTATTCATTTCAAATACAGGGAGGAACCAAGAGAAAAATTTTAAGAGTGCTAAGAATTAAAACTTTTTCTGGTGAAGGTAATGCAAGTATTTTTTCTCAGTAAACCAAATTTGTTTAATTTTTTTGTTCCTAGAGAGAGGTCCCCTGGTGATTTGGAAGTTCAAGATCTGTCGCTAAGCCAAAAATGCGCGAAGATTGGATCGTTGTCGCCCTTGCAGGTGTAACCAATTCAGGGAAAACTACCGTCACCAAAAAGCTTCATTCCATCATCCCAAACTCGGAGTGCATTTTTCAAGATCTCTATTTTCGAGATCCCAATGATCCGAATCACAAATACGTGGAAGATTTGAAACACAACAATTGGGAACTCTTGACCGCTATCAATACGGACAAAATGTGGACTGACATCGAAGAGATACTTAGAAGGTAAATATATTAACTTAGTGAAAAATACATTTTTAATGAGCATTATATTTTTTCATATGATGGGTTCTTACCGAAATGAATTTTGGTTCATTTTAGGCCCCGCATTGATCCGAGCAAGAAAAACGTCCTTCTCATCGATGGATTCCTTGTTCTAAATTTCCTGAAAACAGTGGAATTGTGTGATCTTAAATACTACTTGCGACTGTCCAAAGAAGTTACCTGGGAGCGCCGGCAGACGCGATCCTACGACCCTCCGGATGTCCCTGGGTATTTTGAGCAAATTGTATGGCCAGAACACTTGAAAAGTTTTCAGCAAATGCTAGAGATGAACAAGTGTGTAGTATTGATTCATGGAACTTGCCCCGTTCAGTTTACGACAGAGCGAATTTTGCAAGACATCGAATGCAGATTATAATTGTAGGTTGATTATTTTGTTTGACAAGGTGTGTTTTTTTTTTTGCATTAGCAGCCCTTAATACTTTCATGTGCTCATTGAGTTTACTCTTTAAGGCAATGTCTTGGTTCTTGGCAAAGACTTAATCGAGTATCATGCTAATGGGTTTTAATTCTGCAATTATTAGCAGAATTTTTACGATCTTCATCCCTGTGTTAAGATTATTTAGTATTGCTGGTCCTCGTAAACTGCAACCAATTCTTTGGCCACTTTTTAAATTTCACAATGTATGCTATCGCAGTTTATTCTACAGTGGACAGAAATCATAGAAGAAAAAACTGCCAGTGCTGGACAGACAAGTTGATGGCCATTTTTTGGGTCATGTAATGATGGAATTCCTTTGCTGCATAGTGGCCAATAGGATTTGGACAATTGACTTTCTTCGTAGGCTAATTGATTTTCAGACTAAAACATGAATAATGATGCAAATTCTGTTGTGAACTATTTTCCTAAAAAAAGGTATTTAACTCACTCAAAAAGAAAATGTAAACTGTTCATCATGGGCTTGTCTCAGTTCCTTAAGAACTCACAGCCTCTCAGTGTGCTTAAATTTGATTAATCGAATAGGAGGAATTATCATAACTGTTAAAACCAGAGTATCTCCATCCTTAAAGAAGGTTAAACTCATAAAATCGCACTCATTTAACTATCTAAGGCCACAAGCAGCTATGATATGATGGATGAAACATTTTGCCATAAAAATCTCAGCACAGACCACTCTTGTTCTACTGCTTTCAACAGGTTACCCCAACTAACTTTTCAACCAAGATTTTCACCTTGCCCTCCTTCGTATTCAATCAGGTCTCACTTAAATACAGAGGACAATTTTTTTTGTTAAGACATGGTGTTTTGAAGGAGACTTTTAAGATCTCAAGTAAGTGTGCATTAGTTTCCTCACTGTTTCCTCCGTTTAACAATCTTGCTGGGTTTTTTCTTTTATGAAAACCCACTAAAAGGATCAGAACAATTTAAAATGAATGAAAAATTGTTATCACACTCACTTGTATTCAAATTTTTTTTTTTTTTTTTTTTTTTTTTTTTTTTTTTTGGAATGCATTTTGGAGCACATTAGGCCCCATCCTCAGCCATCAGCGAATTTCTTCGAAATGCCTTTGTCATCTCACATTACTAACCTTACTGTGGCACCCTTTTTGTTGAGTTCTCTGAAACACATTGTCGAGTTTAACAGCATCTCGTTTTGCTGTACCAACTCCTTGTTTTTTTTAGGAATTTTTGTGTTACCTTTTTATTTTTTGAGAAATAATAACGAATGATGTCTCAGACTTGAAAAAGGTGCGTTTTAGCAACCTTGAAGCCTAATGCTCCTCCGTTTGACAAGCCCTTGTACTATAGTGCTTTTCGTTTTCTAGACAATATTGAAAAATATATGAAATGGAAAATAGGATAAAAGCGTTTCAGATTTCCATTGTAATTGCCTCTAATACAACATGTAACAACTTTTCGACCAACATGGTCCATACAGCTGATGGACTTGATTTAAAAATTTTAAAACTGCATTTTGCATAATTTAGTTGGACGATCTGAAGTTTCAAAGTGAAGATCCTGTATTATTTTGCAGGTATAGATCGTAATCTATCTCCAGCAGCTCAAAAGACAAGTAGAATCATCCTCATTTAAAAAATTTAAATTTTGAAGAGGGTTCTGGTAGAAGAGCTTATAAAACGTAGGCACGTTCGTTTCCTAGATCGGTCCAGATAGCTACTGCTCAAAGAAACAAGCACACCGCAACTATTAAGGGCTTTTCATCCGGAACCTTCCTCAATTGATTGCTCTCAATCTGGTTATTGGGTTTTACATTTGTCATTTTCATGTAAAATTTGATAGTTTATATAAAGTAAAAATTACTGAAGTAACATCAAGTCGGATAAATACAATTAATAGGATGTCTCACACAGAGCCTGTATTTAGAAAAAATCTTCTGCATAGAGATTTCGTCGTAAAAATTCCTACGACCCCCCCCCCCCCCCCCCTTCTCTTATTTTCACCCTTATCAATTTGCTCACCGACGGAGCATTGATGTGTTTGTTATTTTTTTGGAGCTTTTTGCAACATAGCCTTTTATTTTGTGATTTGTTGCTTGATTATTATTAATACTTAATATGGCCTTAATGCGGTACGAAGATTTAGTAGCAAGCCTCTTTATATTTTTATAATGTTTCTATTGATCAGAATTATCATGAAGTTTCAAATGTTTTTACCACAAATATCAAGAAAGAAGTAAAATTCATTTCATGCTTGGATGCTTGGTACCTTCTCAAATTTGGAGTTTTTGACTCCCCATCTCTACATTGTTAAGTTCATTTTTTAACACATAAGAACAAAATAGCATAACATCCTCCTCACCCCCCCCCCCCCCCCCCNATCTGAGAGCGTTACATATTTTAGAAAAGCTACGTTTCCCATCAGAGTAATGCTTTTTGGTGGCAGTAAAATCACTAATCTTTATAAATATTAAAATATATTTTTTTAAACCAAGACTGATGGAAAATTACTTATTTAGTTTAACTTAACATTGTCATTAGTTTTCAGTTTTTCTTCTTTGTCAAGCAGGGCTTTTCTCATACGAAGTCATTGGTTTTAAGACATATTTTAAGTCATGCAGAAATGGAATCAAAAACAGAATATGGTTAGTTTTTACTTTTCATTTGTGAAATTTATGCTTAGAACAAGAAAAATTATTCGAAAGGAAAGTTTTCTCACTGCAGTAAGTTTTTCTCTTTGTTACCTCAGGAATTGAGAATGCAACTATTCTAGTTCTAAGTGACTCTTTTACTTTGTTTTATTTGTACGTTGTATGTTTATTATTTGATATCGTGTTATAAAGAAAAAATTGTTTTGTTTGAATTTTTGAGAATTTAAATTTTTTGCCACCAAGTATCCATTAAAGGGCCCTCTACAAAATGTCAAAATGATTGATTTGAATCAATCCAAACTTAAAGCCAATCTAGACTACCTATGCAATCCTTCGTGGAAATCATATCTGATGATAATTTGTTGAGGGTCTCTCTGTTTCGCTGAAGCTGGTTTTTTTTTGTTTTTTTTTTGTTTTAATAATAAATAATGGGTCGAATCAATTTTTTTTTGAAATTTTGAATAACCTTCTCTCAGTTATAACTCAGTGAAGGGATTTAATATAGATGTGGGTTGAGCAGACAAAATTTTCTATTGGGATTCAATGGAAACCTTTACGGAACTGATTTATTGATTAAATTAACTCATCATAAAACAATATTTGCAGGTTCCTACAAAAATTCATCTTTTATGATGTCTCAGCAAGTGGCAATTATATAAAACACTGATTTTAAGGCAAGAAGAAATCTTTTTCAAAGTAGGCAAGTACAGCTCAAGATTCTGTTCTTGATTAGAAAAAGAACCAAATTTGTATTCACAAGAGGCAGGCTCCAAAGATTTTAGATTTTGAAAATAATTCTGCATTCTTTTTCATCATAAAGCTTAACTTAACTTGCAGTTGAGAACTTTTTGATGAATGTTTTTCTTAAACTACCCCCTGAACTATCTTCTCAGAGCATTTTAAGTGACGATCACTGCCTAAAATATAGATTGTGAAGAGGAAATAACAAATCAGAGAATTAGTAAAAAAAAAAAATTACTTATTATTTACACCTACGTATTGTGCACATATCTTGAACAAACAATTAACTTAGTACAATATCCTGGAGAATTCATCAGTGGAGTTAATATTATCAACAGCCAAAATACTCCCTTTCAAATTTGGCAAAATCTTCCTCTGTGAAGACAGTTCTTTCATCCTCTGGCTTCCTTTTCTTGGATTGTTGACTAGATTCAGCTTGGTAGCCTATATTCTGTAAAATCTGCAACAAATGAGAGAAGAGTTATTTTCTGATGCAGTAAGTAGCTACCGAAATTTAAAAGGTTGACCCCTGACAGATTTTAGATAATTCATAAATGAAAAGTTTGATGCTCAATTTCGTAAATTGCATAATAAAAAAATGTTTCATCTGACAGTTTGAGCAATGGCTCAATGTCAGTCAGCCATTTGATATCGCTGTAAAATGGAAGATCTGCCTCTTGCACACAATACCTGCATACATTTTTATAACCTAATTGAAAGACCTTGAATCTTGAAACAGAACGACGGTGTAAGTCGGCAATCACATAACTCGTTTGCGGTGTCTGAAAATCTCCGCCTCTACTTAAGTTATTTTTTTAAAGGAGAACAAATTGACATCCTTTACTGAAGTTTTTGATGAATTTTCTTCGCACAGAGAGGAAAAATCATGGCAATTTTAAAGAATTGCAGTTGAGTAATTTTCCATTTAAAAAATAAAGTATGACAAAAAATCTGCGACGTCGCAAACTGGGTTATGTGATTGCCGACTTACACCGTCGAGAAAGATGTTCTCTTCACTAAGAGATTTTGTACCCACTGTTGCCTGAATATCCTGTACTAAAGGATTACAATCTTTTTTGTGACTTCAAATTTGAGAAAGAGCCCCTCAACGAGACTTTCTGAGAAATGATCAGCAGCAGATTACTCAACAAAATATGATATGAATAATATTCAGAGCCACTTTACAGTATTAAATTTATTTTCTTTTTGACTTCATGTTGGCAGAGATCAGTCCAATTGTAAATTGCAGCTGTTCAGCATTGAGCACAAAACATTTTATACAAAAAAAAAGAGTTAATATTCAAATGTTACATAGAAGGTTACAAAGCATAAAAATTCAAGCTACTATTCCCATGTTGAATTGTGATTTGATGACGCAAAATGCAATTTCTACTACTCTGCGTGCATTCCTTACGTAAATTGGTGCGGTGTTATTGAGCATATAGCATGTGCTCTGCTTCAGACTTTGTTAAAATTTGGAATGAGGGGTAGAGAGGCTTCAAGGTTGTTTCTTTGTGTTGTCACATAGAAAGATGGGTTGAAACTATTAAAATGATGATTATTTGATAACTTTCATTCTTAGCCACCGCTCACAAAAATTGTAGAAGCCTCACCACTTTAAATAACATACATATAAACCTTTTAAAAGGAGCATGACAACCAGAGAAAATAAATTACAAGAGCCCCACACTACTAAGTTGTAAAAATTACGGTAGGAAGCCAACACTTAGATTTGGCTTGATAATTACTGATGGTTTAAATGTGGACCAATCTATTTTGCAAAAAGGACTTACTTCGTTTGACAAACTTGCAGTGCAAATTGATCAGTCATCATTAAAAGAGATTTGTCAAAGTTTCTGACGAGGTCAAACTGGCATGCGAGATATCACAACTATGTCAAAAATCTTGTCAGAAAAAGAGTTTTTAGCCTAAAGAAGATCAATGGTCCCTGCACACGAGCCTAATGAATCATTCTAAACCAAAAAATTGGCAAAATCTGTAGAAATGAAAGCAGAGTCTTGTTTGGAAAAATCTTGCGTCTGACACGGAAATCGATAGCTGTATTGAATGCAAGATTTTCTTCCAAACAGGATACTACTTCCATTGCCAGTTGGTCGGTTTTGAGTGATTCTTTAAACTCATGCAAAGGAGCTATTGTTCTTTTTTTTGCTGAAAATTCTAAATCTGTCAAGATTTTTAACATGATAGATGCTATACATCAAACGCCAGAAACTGTGACGAATCACCAGAAGCAATTTGAATGTACAATAAGTTGCAAATCGATGATAATCAGGCAAAAAATGGTGTTAATCTCCAAAGACTTGCCTTCCTTGATTACGCGGCTCAAATTTTAGAGGGTTGGTTTTCTGGAATATTATGACTCAAAACAGGATAACTTACCCTCTTAGCTGTCTTCTCTTTCAGAGGTTGACTTAATAGCTTCAGCTTTTCCAAGTTTTCTTCAACTAAGCTTTCCTTCCTCTTCAATCGTTTCTTGACAGCTTCAATTTCTTTGACAGCGGAAGCTTTAAGCAGAAGATCTTTTTTGGTGCCTTTAGATATCATCTTGCGGTTGCAATTCTGCTTCTTTTCTAAACATAATATAAAGAAAACAAGATTCTTCAATTTGCATAATACTGCAGGGGGAGGCCATGAAAGAAATAGACTAAAAGTCTAAAAGAAAGTCTATTTCTTTCATGGGGAGGCTTTTAACTTCTGGTGGCTCATTTGACGAACTGGTTTCAGCCAAAGCAGTTTATTTAATGAATTTATCAAGTGTTCACCAGCCTACACAGGCTTCCATAACACAAGTGTATACACCTCAGTTTCGTTTGTGCTAAAAATTACCTATAAAAGTCTAGAATAAATTGGCGTATTTGACACCCGACAGCAGTTTTAGACACCAGCTGACTTACAACAGGTTGGTGGGTTTCAAGCAGCTCACTGAAACCAATTTCGCCTTGCAGTTGAGATTAAGTCAAACATGAGTGGAGGTAAAGTGTTGGACTAGTAGGGTAGTTAGTCGTTAAATTGAGTATTACCGGGTAGAATCTCAGAGTCTTCGTCGAATATTCGAAGACTCTCCCTCAGAATGCTCTTCGACGTCTTCTTGAATGATGACATGACTGGGAAAGTTCTCAAAATTACTTCCTCCTTAACCGATCACGGAAGACCTTATTTAAAAAAAATTTAAGTGTTTCCACAGGGTCAAAATCCATTACAAATTGTTTCACACACGTTTCAACTAATTATAAATAAAAACATAACCTCAATCATTCAACAATTGTTCGTGACTCCACCAACTCACCAATCAATAAAAATGTCAAAATGCAATGAAGTGAAAAAAGTCTCTTCTCTCTCTTGTCCATTTCTTACCTGCCTAATCAGTTTTCGTAGACTGCATAATTTTGATAAGGCCGAAATTCTTGAGGCAATTTTACTTAAAAGGTGTGATAGAGATTGTGATGTAGATCGTAATTAACTTTAGAATTAATTGATAAGCTCACTCCTTCATTCAAGACTGATAAAAATCTGACACCTAACAGGTATGATAATTTTTTGAAATTTTCATTTTCTCCAGGCGAGCCTCAAAACTGCAACCTTAGTTGCATTCTGGTTAAGTAAGTATTAATCATGAATCTGTTACATGCGTACGATTCAACATCTGTTCCAAAGCCTCTTTTGCCTGAATAGACGAAAGGTTTCTCCCCTCCATTTTCTCGGTGACACCATAAGTTGAATGTGTTATTTTTTCTTTTTTCCTTAGATTGATTCGAAACTTTTGGTCCAGCAAATCCGAGAATCAAAGTCACATTAATTTTTAAGCACTGAGGTACTAAGATACTGACTCAGTGTTACCTTGTCAGGTCTGCTGAGCAATCCCCAAATGCAGGTCCCAAGATCCAAACAAGGAGGCCTAGCAATATCTATGACTCCGGAGTTCTTGCTGAATTAGTTAACTGACTTTTAAAATAAAGCGCAAGTTCTGTTAGTCTCATTTCCAACTTGCAACCAAATGTAAGTGAGGACTAGGACGGCAGATTTTCTGTTGGTCATCAACGTCAGTATTTGGCGAGAAATTCAGCGCACGGAAACCTGTTTCCATGACCAATTCTCTATTCAAACTCAGCACCTAATTATGAATTATGATATTAATATATTTAGGATTCAGCAGCATTCTTCACGAATATGCACAATGATTCAACCTCTGGTCGTCCGACCGACTCCTTCAAGGGTGGCAGAAGTCGTTCTAATCCTCACTCAAATTTTGGAATTTTGATGGCTCCCTTTTTTGATGGCACCTTTCTACATCCTTGGAAGGAGGGTACCTCAAAATTCAATGTTTAATTTGTTGCCCCTTGGGTACACAATGCGACTGAGTGGCGTAACTTTGCTGAAAGAGCACTTATTACTCCTGCCCAATTCACCATCGATAAACTTGCTCATTGTTGGTTTGCAAGAAACCGGCAATGCGGTGTTGGTATTATTGAACATTTTCCTCAATTTTATCTCTATGAATGTTCTCAGAGAATGCTTGACTCTGAAGATGAAGATGCTAATTCAGATTTGGACAAGAGAAAACACCCTTACTCCACCATCAATCGGAGCGTGCCAAAAGCATGTTTTATACGGGAGAATGGATCTCGATCTCAAGGTGCTAAAGTTGCTAAAGAGTTTGAATGGGCAGCGGAAGACATTTTTGTTCAGAAGAGTCTCAATGAACATGTAAGTTGCTGTTGGTAATCTCTTTTCCCCTAAGTTTTCTAAAACAGGTCCACTGAATATTAAGGATGAATCTTGTCTATAGATTTTAATTACAACTGTCGTTATTAGTCTGTAGGTACATCATGATAGGTATCAAATATTTAAAAATTCTGTAAGCAAAAATATTTTTTTCAAAGTCAAGGGTGCCAATAGTCTTAGGCCTCCTTTTCTTTCACAGACACCTCTGCAATGTTCTTCAGTGCAGTGAAAAACTCAAGTTCTGCAGTTTGGTGGCTTTTTGAAAAAGTGTCCATACTTACAATGTGCTTTTTTGGGGGGCCAGTGGGTAGCCAAAGTGCTGCAGAATAAATTCAGTAGAATAAATTTATTCTACAACCCTTTTGCTACCCATTAACCCAAAAATAATTTCAGTGCTACTAAAAACGCTCTCAGCAACAGTGTGCTTATTAAAATTTTACATTCTTTGAATGTGCTATGTATCCACGAAAAGATGAAGTAAGTGTTAGCTTTTAGAATTGGAAGTAATTCAGGAGTGAATGTGAGCTACAGTTGGAGGGTCCCACTGGAAGTAAAAACCACCGAAAACTTTCTTAGCCTCCACAATTTTGAAGGCATGTCCAGAATTTGCACCGGTTTTTTCTTTTTCTCTTATTATTTGTAACACATGGATTACAACACATTTTTAGATCTTGCGGATCTTAAAATTTAAACTTAACATGTAACAGACAGTATTACAATAATGAACCACTTTAAGCAGATAAAAAATTTATAAAAATTGGTAAGAAAATTGATGAAAGAAAGTAAAATGAAGGTTTAGTACCTTTACTAATAGATAATAATAGCAAATAAATAAATAAATAAGAATACAAATTAAAATGAAAAACAAAAACATGAACAAAATACAGCACGGACAAGAAAAAGAGTGCAAAAGTGGCAAAAGCCAGTAATAATGATTTAAGACTCCTACTGCCAATAGGAACTTTGCTCAAAAGATGCGGGCCAATATTGCTGCCGACAAAGGCGAGTATCGGCGATACACAAATGAAGGAAGTTAAATTTTAAGAAAGTCTCGGGTAACTAAGTCTTGTGGTTTCCTTCTCTTTAGTTGCCCCATTTTTTTTTATTTTTCATCCGTTTTTTTGACAAACTCTTGTAGAAAATTGTGGTCCGTATTATTTCTGAGCACATTTTTTTCTCATGCTTTCAGAAATTTGAGTTACCCGAAAATGCTAGGTCTACTTTTCTGATGGTCTTCAGTCCTGATGGGTAAGTCACATGTGCAAATATTTATTTTCAATGAGGTAGTGAGTTTCAACAGATAGGAGTTTCAACAGTTAGTTAGTTTCAACAGTTTCAACCGTCGCTTCAAGCGACTTAGAACTCCTCCTTAGTATGTTGGAAAGAAAAAAAAATGACGTTAGTTCACTCTGAAGAATAAATTTTTCTGAATGAACGTTTGTATTTCCCTGTGGCAAGCAAAAAGTTTGAGACTTCTTTATGATTGAGTAAAATTTGCATTATATAAGTTGACAGTTGTTTACTTTTAATTTGAAAATAACTATCACGGTTGTCCAATAGTAATGCTGGCAATGCCGATGCCAAGTGCAGGTATGTAAATCGGTTTACTGCCGGCGACAGTCAAAAATAAAGAACTGCTAACTTATCTGATGAAAGCTATCAAACAAAAATGATGATTCAGATTGCATTAAATATCCAAGTAAGTAATTTTGAGGTGTGATTTCAATTTAAAAAATTACAAGTAATAAAAAAGATCTAAATCAAATTTTTAATCGGAGGTTTTGTGCTCAACTTCAACCAGTCAGTCAAAAGTTAAAGTCTTACAGGCCCAGAAGTCTGGACTTAATCACACAATCTGCGGCTGGATAAATTCATCCTTTCATTCCTAACTTCATGTATAACTGTTTTTCAAATTGCCCTCCAAATTAGGAAAATTGTGGCGTCAACCCATGGTAACCACTCTATTTATGTAACTGATGTGAGAACTTGCAAAACAATCCGAACATTAAATGGTCATCCCAGAACACCATGGTGTATAGCGTTTCACCCATCATCAAATCAGATCCTAGCCTCTGGATGCCTTGGAGGCGAAGTACGTGTCTGGGATCTTCATGTAAGTATTCATTTAGCTCTATCAATGATCATTGCTGTTGTATTTAACAAGGAATCATCTTTCAACTTTTTTCTAATTAGTAAGTGTAGACAAGAAAATTTAATTAAATTTGGCAATAGCTAATGTGTCTTGGTTCCTTTCAGTTTAACGCGGCCCATTTGGAGTTGAGGGTGTCCTGTAGCCTCCTTGATGAGATGCCCCACCCCTCCTCCCCCTACTGAAAAGTTTATAGTTTCATGCTCATGGTAGCCACCATACTATTTAAGAATTACTGAGAATCAACTACACTGTGTATTCGTATGGTATTGCTTTGGCCCTTTTTATTTCCTGACTTAATAATTATTTTATTTTATTTTGTTCCTGGAAGGGAGGAAGTGAAGTTTGGACATCTGACTGCCACACTGTGATAGCATCTCTTGCTTTCCATCCTATTGAACGGGTGCTTGTCATTGCAACTTACAATGAACTTTACTTCTGGGACTGGAATGAAAGAGTGCCTTTTGCCAAATGTCGCACTGGACATGAGAAAGAAAAAATCAGGTTGGTTTCTGACTCAAAATTTCCTAAATGGGGCAGACGTTTTTTTGAAGTCAGTTCGATGGTGGCAGAGTTTTGACACTTGTCTTGGCCAAGTCCGACGGTTTTATTCATTTATTCCGTCTATGTCAAAATTTCTTCCAGAATTTTGTGTTAAGCGTAGAAACAGTCAGGATGAAAAGTTGCTTAAGTCAAAATTTTCTTTGGTCCCTTCACATTTCGTCTCAACTAGCTTTTACTGTACTGAAGCAAAATGCTTTATGCCTTGGTAAGTGATGTTTGATCAGAAGATGAGGGAGAATGCCTCTCATCGGTTGCCTTAGTAGCTGGAGGTCAATCGGACGCTACTTGACTATAAAACTCTATTTTTTGTAGCATGATACGTAGTTTAAAGGAGAGGTAACCAGTAATCTGAAACTGCTTAAATCTTGAGGGTGAGGTATTACAATAAACGATCGTCTCACCTTTGTGGTTGCACAGATGCAGCAAAATTTATCAAACCCCGAGCACGGTTTGTCTCAGAGGGAGGTAAATAAAACTGTGTTGCCCACTCAAAATGCCTTCTGGATTCCGATGTGAGATGCATATACCGTCATTTAAGCCTAAAATGGAAATATTCTGTCGTGCTCTTTGAAAATAAAATCGATTTTTGTGTTTTTGGCGCTAGAATGGCCTTCAAAGACGATCAACAATTCAATGGTGATGGGGTGTGCATGTGTAAAATGATGTATGCACACCCCATCGCCATTGAATCGTCGATCGTCTTTGAAGGCCATTTTTGCGCCAAAAACACAAAAATCGATTTTATTTTCGAAGAGCTCAACAGAATATTTCCATTTCAGGCTTAAACGACTGTGCACGCATCTCACTTCAAGATCCTGAAGGAATTTTGATTGGGCAACACAGTTTTATTTACCTCCCTCTGAGACGAATGGTGAAAGAAGACAGTAATCAATCAGAAAGGAAGAATTAATGTAAGGGTAATTGAAAATGTTTCGAGCTGGTAAGAATATTTTTTTCAAGACACTTGTCAATGTCTGCATTTTTAATGAATTCTTTTAGATAGTATAATTTCAGTGCTAATTGATTGCCACAGATATGTTGCATTTGATCATCTTGGTCAAAAACTCATCACCGGCATAGCAAATGTATCTCCTCTTCAATCCCAGTGGGACCGAATAGCTAATCCAACGCAGAATGACACGGAGGATTGTTTAAGGAGAATGCTCAGTGAGGTAAATCTATGCATTTCATTCCGGTTTCAACAACACACTTTTTGCACAGTTCAGGGTGTCTAGCAGTAGGATGTTCCCGATTTTATCCGGATTTGAGGTCAATCAGGATTTGAGGAAAAATCAGTCGTAAAATCAGGATTTGAGAAAAGTCAGCAGTCTGATCGGATTTTTTTATGAAGCTATTTTTGTGCCGTTACATTTGCCTCAGCAAGAAATCACGATTTGATCATGATTTGGAAAAATTATGAAATCAGGATTTAGCAGTCAAAAAATAGGAAAAATTAGGATTTCATCACGATTTCCTGAAATGAAGAAAAACTAGACACCCTAGTTATGGAAACAGAGCAAAAAAGGTTTATTGCAAGATAATGGTACAGCCAAGTGAGTGGACTTTAAATTTGTCATATTGCATTAAAAACACATATAGTGATTCAGAAATTTCTAAAATGCAATCCAAAACACACACTTAATTGACAACAACAAATAAATAAGTGCCCACAAACTCGGTAGAACCAAACATGCATATTATAGACTTTGCAAATTTTTGTGTTTTTGAATGAAATTAGACACTTCTGATGTGTTCAATGTGATTATCATGTGATTTTACGTACTTCAAGTCTACTCAGTTGGTTGTATTTCTTAAGCAACTCAAACAGCCTAAAGAATTTACGGAACCTTGTACTTAGTAGTGTGATGTGGAGTTACATTTTATAATTAAAACTCTCCATTAATCAGAAGTTAAATGAATTGAGTTTTCAGAAACATGACATGAAATTGTCCTAAAAAATATTTATTACTTGTTTTTTCTTCATTTAACTCACTTTTTGTTTTCGAAAATCTTTAAAAGAAACTTATAATGAATCTTGACTCTCAAAAGACACATTTAGTGTAAAGGGTATATTTTTTGATGATTCGAGTGCAAACAGGAACATTAATGCTCAAAGTGATCTGGAGATATCAATTTTTTTTTTCTTCTTTGGTTTTTACTCCTTTTTCTTTTTGAGAGTAGCAAAATGATGGTGAAACTGCAGAGCAATGCATCTTTGTCTGTGACTTTACAGTTGTTTTATTACGTTTTACTCCTCTGAAGGATGACTGATGATTATTATTGCATGCAATTTCAAGTGTTTGTGATTATTATTGCATGCAATTTCAAGTGTTTGTTCTCTGCTGTCTCAAAAAGATTTTCTCCAGATTTCGTTCAAAAGTTTAAACACAAGTTGAAAAATGAAGCAGAAGCAAGAGTTCAAAATCCTGTAACTAAGCTAGAAAGAAAACTGATGGCAAGTGCCTACAAACTTGAGGTGCATAGTTTTAGAATTTGCTCAGTTGTTCTCTAAAGTTAGCCCTTTTTTGAGGTTTTCTCTGAATTTTAGGAACAAAAAAAAATTCACATTGCCATGCAATTTTTTCTGATTCTTGTGCAAGTAGGCCTTTATCTTAAAATTTTCTCGTCCAAGTTTACTCCCTCTTACTTACCGTATGATACTGTTGTTTCAGAGACAGAGTCAACCTACTCCTGCTCCGCGTGAAAGTTTTGGTTTTAGTAGTATGTTTGATGATTCACTATCATCCTCATTTCTGGCAGACCGACTTAGCTGGCATACGTCACCGCGCCGGCAAGCAGCGTGGGAAGCGCGGCGGCTCCAAATTCAAGAGGCCTTTAGGAGCCCAAGGCATAATCTGCGACCACTTAACGTACGTAGACTCGGTTCACCCGTAGATCATCTACGCAGAGCTTTCTTTAATTCTAACAATTTGAACACACGAGAAAGAGACAGAACCGCCGTCGAAAACTACCTGCTTGGCAACCGAGACTTCACATTTAATGATTTTATCTCGGTCGTGAGGAGTCAGTCGGAGCGGAACCAGTTTGATGGTGACCATAGTTATTCAGAAAGTGAGCAGGCTGGTTCGGTAGAGTATTGGAGGATTTTGCTTGATTTTTTTTTCGATGAGCAAGGTGAGTATGGTTGGAACGAAAGGGATGAGTCCCTCTTTACTGACCACGATTACTCAGTAAGCCGTGAAACGTTTGCTCGCAGTCGACATAGCTGGTGGAGCAGGAACTTTGATGAGGAACTGCCAATGAACAGCACTGCTGAACGTCAACCGAGGAGAAATGGTCCGCGTTGGACCAGAGCACCCTTACCAACCAGAGCACCCTTACGGCCATTGAGGTCAGAACGAACTAGGACCAACTCTGCCGGGAACGAAGGTACTTACAAATTTACTCCCACATGTCTAGGATTATTTGTATGGAACTAAGCAAACAGGACATATCTGCATCGAAGATTTTGAACAAAGACATGTGCAAAAGTTTATGACTGGTAACATATGTATGTTAGTTAAAGATAGGAACAGAACCGTAAGGGTGCAAGCGTAATCAAGGAACCAGATATGGGGAACATCTGGAAAAACTTATGACCATTAAACTCTAAAGTCTTGTAGATGTTTTTAATTTTCCTGTTGGGAGGTCTGACTGCCAAATGTTATTTTCACTTTACTCTATTGAGTCAAATGGGCACACTGTCTCTTCTGAAAATATAATTACAGGAGGGCCCCGGTTATCTGAGAATTACAAGATCAGGCACACCCCTCATAAGCAAAAACCCTGGTTGAAGCTAGGACTGCAATGACCGCATGATAATCAGACTAATTGCGCTGTAGCTTCAAATATACAAAAAACTGCTGTAACATTTGATTCTCTACCTTCATAAATTATATGTAAAAATATGTAATAATTATGTAATACTGAGCAAAATAGCCAAATAACTGCTTATAGAGGATGAGTATTTTATTCTGTTTTATTTGAAGCTTTTCGATCATGCTGATCATCATCAGAGGCACGACATACGCAAATTACAACTACAAAATAATAAATGCACAAAATATTGGTACACTACATGGTCGGTGAAACGCATAAGCAACTATGAAGAAGATACATTTAAGAGAATACAAGCTATCTGCAAGCAATAGTAAAACTATTACACAAGGATCTGGAAAAGTCAACAATTAAGAAGAGTGATCGAGAGGAAAAGCGAAATATGGAAAGAGAAGCTTTGTTGACTTGTCCAAAGTATCATGTAATAGTTTTACTCTCGCTTGTGGTCTCTTCAATGTATTTTTCTCATACTTCTGTATGCGTTTCACTGAACATGGAGTGTATGTATATATTTGTGCATTTGCTATGTTGTAATTGTAATATACGTATGTCATTCCTTTGACAATGAAGTAAAGCTTCAGGTAAAATCAGTTAAATAATTCATCCATTATGCGCAGTAATTTGGCTTTTTCACTCATTATCACGTTATTGACTGCTAACCACACAAAGTTCAGTTTGTTAGTTTGTTAATTTAATAAGACAACCAGCAGCTATGGCTATTTATGTCAGATTCCATGTAACCACTTCCATCAAATTTTAAACAACATTTTATTTTGTGCCTCTATCCTTTCCTACGTCTTGACACTTTTTTGGTTAATGAAGATAGCGGGATTTACACCCTTCCTTTCTCTTTTTATTTGTAGCGGTCACTTTGTCCATTAAAGTAGGGAAAACCTTTGTCAAAACCGTCCACTCAAGTCAAGACCCTGGTTTTAGCAAGTGCCTGGCTAAAGCAAGTCTAGGTAACTGGGGTGCTACTGCACTATCACCCTCCACTGTAATAAAAAAACATCTTATATGCCCAAACGCACCATCTCAGCTTTTTAACCCTTTTCTTCAATTTGTAGCAGTACCTAAGGGTAGAATTACCCGAATCCCAGCTTCCATGCAATTCAAGCTGAATTCATCGCTAAAGTAGATAGTTTCTATTTAATAGAGCCCAAATTATGTTTTGTTTGCTTAGTTCCATCTATTTTAGTTGTTTAGAGGCAACAAAGCCTTCAGTTGTCTACTAGTCAGGAAAGTCTGTACAGAGTCATTTATGGCGTCAATGAAGAAATATTCAGATATTGTAAAGTTATTTCCTCTGCCTCAACATTACTTCACTTGGCAGAGAGAGGTAATGTAGCATCATAGCCTCAAGAAAAAATTCAGATAAAATTTAACAAAATACCTAGGATTTCAGTTCCTGAACTTTTATGGGTGAATTCAGTGATGGCATTTCAAAAACATGGAATCATTAAGACCGTGCATCCTGTGTTACGGAAGGCGTTACTACTTTCAAAAATTCCCATGGCGCACCGACTGATGAATGTAGTGCACCGACCTTGCATCGGTGAGTTTGTGTGTCCCAACTGCGCCCATCTGCACATGCGCAGCAGCGGCCCCAGTGAATTTTTGTTAAATGTTGAGGCTTTTTTCTGGGTGGTAATTAGTTTGGAAAAGCGAAACTTTGCAATTTAGGTGTAAAATTATATGCTCTACAACTTTTGTCCTAAAGAATTTTGTCTAAAAACGAACTCAAAACGAGTTATTTGCGAAAACCCGAGTGCGCAAATGAATTCTCCATTGCTTCTTTGCAGTCTCTTCCAATGCTTGGGACCCATACTCTCACCCCCTCCCCGCCCACCCACATGGAGTTTCGAGAAATTTGTAACGCTTGGCCTGTACAAAATCAAGCCAGATGCACGGTCCACAAGATTCAAGATGTCTTTTAATACTTAGATCATGACTTGAAAAAATCATTGTTATTTTTCCTTTTTTTCTTTTCTTTGTTTTTGTGTGTTAGTTTCTATGCCAAAACTCCCTCTGATAACATCTGAATGACAATCCAGGTTTAGTAGACACTATCTTTAAGTGGTCTTACTTTTAAGTTTTTTAAGATGAAGCAAGCAAAAGCTCATTTTTGTGTAAAGCTCTTTGACTTTTGAAGTTCATTGAAAATTGAAAATAGTCAATAATGCAACGGAAAAAATAGATAAGAAGGATCTTATATCTTGTCTACTAAATCACAATAAAGTTACGGACTCCAATTTTTGTAAATCATTATCCTCATTTTGAAAGGCACGAATTCATTGCCCTATCTCAGAATTTTCAGTTATTTGCAGCCTGAGGACAAAAAAATTCAACAGATTCTGGTGATTTTTCTCTGTGTAAAAATTACTAGACTTTTGACTTATTGTTTGGACTTAAAACTTTAGGATTTTAAATTATTTTTTTTTCAGCTCACAGGAATATTGCAAGAAATTTGCAAGAATGTTGCAAGAGCAGTCTTTTGACCCTCTGCAAGAGACTGATTGTATTGGAATGTTTTCCAAGGCTTTTGTTAGGTAATCAGCTGAAGGGTAGCTTGGTGATTTTGTTGCCAAAGGTAGTGTTATTTCAGCGAAAAGTATTGATAAAGTAAGAGAAGATTTATACCGTAAATTTAATTTTTTATCGACCCTATCTTGTCAGTTGATGAATGCGCCTTGCCATGTAATATGTAAAATAATCAAAAAGTTATGAAATGAAGAATAATATGGTAATACAGTGTATCACTACTCTCTTGAAAACTTACCTTGTTCCTTTCCAATATTTGAACTAAAATTTCTCATGGTGGAAAGATTTTGAACTGTCAGTTGAGCAAAGTTTTCTTCTCACCAATATTGTGCAACTTTGAGTCTTGAAAGTCAACGTTTCCACAATGATGAGAAATTATTTTTTTATCCAAAGTTTGTGCAATTGTTTTCTCAGCTAAACCCTCAAAATTTGCATCTCTAAAAGTGAGAGCTAATAATTAATTTCAATACAATTTTTAGTTTTGTCGATATCAAGTTTTACTAAAATTTGCTGGCTTATGCAAGCGTTGAAAACATTGTACCTCAGTGCTAAGGATTATTGGTGAGATACGTATTTTGATTTTCAGTCATGACTCCTGGTGGCGCTCAAAGCGCATCTTTTATTAGAGACGTGTCTCGTCTGCAATCTCGTTTGAGACGTCTTCAAAGGTCGCTCACCTACCTAGAGACCAGAAGAGCTTTGAGCCAAATCAATGTCAGATCTGTGAGTATCAAACCCTGATGCTTGACAATTTACGAGAACTTAATTTTAAATTTTCAGCCCTCAATATCAACAAAGTACTCTAATGGACCAAAAATTTTTCCTGCCTCTAATTATCTCAGTGTGTGTCTCAGCACAGAGAGTAATAGAAAAAAAAAAAATTATGGAAAATCCAGAAATGTTTGGGGGAGCCTCTGAAAGCATAGATAATTTGGGCTTTTTCCAGTATCTACTGATATAAATTCGAAGTTTTGGCAATGTGAATGGTTTTAATGCTGAATTTAGTTTTTTATATCCCCATTAAAACACAGGTAAAATTTCAAAAGGGCCTTTTAAGTGTGGGAAAAACTATGACTCTTGCTGTAGCCTTGAATGATAAACATTTTGCCGCAGTAGAATCATCAAATTTTGAAAATGTTTTTGTGACTTTGGCTGAAATCGAGGAAAGAAATGAAAAATAAAGGTGCTAAAAGCCAAATTGATTTTTATATTACTTCAGCTTTTCTACTCCATTCTACTCCAATTAGCGTTAGAATATATAAACTTGAGTTCTAAACAAAAAATACCTACTATTAAGTGCCATCACAAAACTTGTCCTGAGGATTAAAAAAGCTCCTTATTCTCCAGACCGAGAATAAAAAAGACTGGTGATTCATAGTGTTCTACATTTTTTGAAACTAAAGTTTTAAAAGGGGTCAAGGAGGCATCAATAATATTTTTTTTAAATATTTTCATCGTATAATCGTAATACATGGCTGGTAGCCAGCAACCTTTACTTAGTTCTTTTAAATAATTTTCTAGGATCAAAGCTAACATGCTGAATCACATAATAACTTGAACCATAACCCTGTATTGGGCTGGTGAAAAATCAACAAAACTTTCATCAAATTGTACCAGAAGTTTCCTCTCAGCCATGCCTTAACCTTTTTGCCACGGTTCATCTTATCCTTGATTCACCCCTATTTTTTTTACCTTAAAAGGTCAGAATTTTGTTCCTTAATTTTCTAAACCTATTTAATCCATCCTAATGTTGCATTGGTGCTACAGATATGAGCTAGCCTACTGATCGCACACATCTCTCATTTAAGGATTGTTGTTAAATCCATGTTTTAGTCTAAACTGCTTGGTTTCATGTATTTATTTGTTTGTGAAATGTTGCATTTGTAACTACTTTCTGTAATAGACTGTTGATACAGACATGAGTCAGTTTTGTCTCTAATTTGTACCGATTATCTGTCGTAAGAATAAAAGCAGTTGAGTCCCTCCACTTCTTCCTGTGGTTCCAATGATATGGAATCTTAAATACATATTATTTATCTCTTCTGTCATGACTGGAGCCTCAGAATATAAGAATTTGAATGGTATGATCAGTCAAATAGATTTACTTATTTTAGGTTTCACTCAGTCATTCCATAAGTTTATCGCTCTGTCTGCTCATTTTCTGAATAATTTTTAAGTTAGAAGTGTTCATAGAACATTATTTAACAATAACTGTCTGGCTCTTCAGTTTTATAGGACTCAGAGATCTCAATTTTAAGATGATCTTTGAAAAGCGTGGTTCAAGTGTTCTAATTGGTTTCAAGTTTAAACCTTTGCAATTAAAAATTTTACTCCAAAAATTAGTTTTGCTTCAGCTCAAGTCAACTCATTTATCTCCTCTCACTTTACTTTGTTATCTCTACTGTATCTTGTTTCTTTTTTTATTCCTTACACTAAAAAATTGTGACACATGATCACCTAATTTTCAAAAGTGTTCTTTTGGGAAAAAAAGGAGGGATAGATAATGCTTATACTCCACTATCTACCTAATGAAGATGCTCAAAAATTGTAGCATTCCTCTAAAAAAAATCCGGTTTGAACATACTACCGGCTTGAAGTACCATGGAACTTGACAAATCACTGCATGAACAAACTTTTTAGCCCAGTCGACTGTGTGATTTCAGCAAGTTTTGTCAAATGGAATTTTATTGTCATGATCTAGAAAAACTTCATAAAAAGCAACCTTCTCATATCGGTTATACTTTTCATCTATTGTACTCTTCACTTCTCGTTAAGATGCTTAATGACTTGTTTTATGATTATGCAGGATTCATCCTCCGCAAGTTCAGTACCAAGTAACAGAATGCAGGGTTTGGCCCCCTTAGTACTTCAGCCATTGTCCGATGACCAGCAACTCAGAATCGTTACTTCGTCTTCAAACTTACTTCGTCTTAGAATGGGAATAAATAACCTGCAGCGCCAAATTAGGTGATCTTTTTTATTTTTCAATCAGCTATCCCATTCCCTTTCATCAGTTAGTCACCGATAGTTGTTCAAAAGGGAAACAGAGAAGCTAGTTAAAAGAGGGATCCATGTGGAAAAATTTTGTTTTGAGAAAGATGCATTTAAAGTATTTACCATTGTATTCAGACTACTGTTGGTGACTCAAAATGAAGATTCATCCATTCGACTGAAGTTTATAAATCCAGAAAAGCAAGTTGCTGACTTTTAAAATGTGAATGTTATTGGATATTTTGAGAGTTTCAGCTAGTGTTGTTGATTTTTTCCCAAAAATCGATTATTCGCCGAAAAATCAAGGCCAAAAAATCGATTTTCAAGAAAATCACTCCGAAAAAAATAATAATTTTTAGGAAAAGTATTGTGCTGTTTGTAATTCTTAAATTCTCGCTTCACTGATCGTGAGCGTTGAGTTTCATTGTCCCTTGAATTGGAGCAATGTCGATGGTCTGTTTTAATTTTAAAAAATAATATAAGCTTAATGCCTCCTTAATCAGGAGTAAAATTTTTGTTTCTAAAAAATCGAAACATTTCGATTTGTGAGTCAAAAATTGATTCAGCAGCAAAATCATGTGCAAAAAATCGATTCAATTTAATGGACTATTTTTCGCAAAAAATCGATTTCTTCCAAAAATCGAAAAAAAATAAACAACACTAGTTCAGCTTTTGGTACTTTCCTCTTGTAATTTGCCTTCTTTTAAATTTAAGCCTCGGCTGAATTCATAAGAAGCATTTAGAGTGAGAGTGTCAGAACTCATCTTTGTGTACACACTGAAAATACCTGGCATTAGTAAAAACAAAGATGGTATCGAAACTTCTCAGAACTCAAAAATTTCATCAACTTTAATGAATTCTTGTTGAGATGTTTCGCCAACCAGCGGATCGTTCCAATTTCATTTTTCATGTATCGTGTTTAAATTATCAAGGATTCCTGACCCCTTTGCCAAAAGATTTTGATTTACCTTCGCAATAATGGAGCTTTTTTCTTTCAGTCGTAGTCGCATTACAACTCGTCTCCTGTTACCTTCGACGAGACAGAGACTCCAAGAGGTGCTGCAGAGGCTACATACAAGACTTTCCCGTTTTCAAACTTTGACAGACGACCCACCTCTGCAGTCATCTCTGTCATCAATAAACTTCAATTCACGGGTTAACGGTGATATGGGCGGTGCGAGCAGCAGCCACTGGGGTCCCGGAACGTTGAGCAGTGCCTTCAGCTCTGATCTGCAAGAGGGACCATCACGAGTGCCTTCCTCAATAGAGTTCCTTTCTGGCGAACAGAGCACGTCTCGCACAAACGCCGAAGAAGATTCTTCAAGAGATGGTCCCTCCTCAAGTAGACGTCTGTGGCCAGGAGCGCATTATAGATCTAAAATGAGAAGTGGGGAGTCTGCTAGGCGAAGGTAATCTTTCTTCTATCCCTCACTTTTTCATGGAGTTTGATCAAAATTAGGGTAAAGTACCTTTATAGGGAGAGTATGGACCAAAGACATAAAGACAGAGGCTCGTATCGAAAAGCACGGGGGAAAAAGTGAAGCCTGGTTTGGCGTTGGGTGCTTGTGTGAGTATGTAAATGAGCGCGGGAATCCATGGCGGCAAACGGACATTTTATTTGAACTTGTCCTCTTGATTTTTCCACATTTCTCCCTCTAAATGCCTTTTAAATTTCTTAAACGAAGATACTAAGAAACTTGGGATGGTGACTATAATACACCTATTTTTGCTCGGTAACAAGCAAGAATCTCAGATAAAGTTAGTTTTTCTTCTGCTCATGGTGGTCCTGCCGGTTCAAACAGGGCGTTACAGTCCTAGATGACCGTTACTCCCAAATGAAATTAATCGGTTGATGACAGACCAAAAATAACCTGAAGTTAAGAAAATATATGTGGGTAAGTGAATTTGGGTAATTTTGTATTGTATGCAATTTTATTCAGTTCCCGCGCTACATTTGAATTCCAGACTTGTCCCGATTTTGCCGCCAACCCTCTAGCCAATAGTAGAGGTGGTTGAAAAGTAGCTTCATTTTTTGCTTTTAGCACTCCGTCTTTATGTCTTTGGTATGGACACGGCGAAAATTTGGAGGTTAGGTTTGATCAAGTCATGTTGCTCTTGGGGCTCAAAGGGGCAGCCAACGTATGAACTTGAATCATCCAGTGGTACTAATTTTCACAATTACAAAATGCGAGAGTGAGTACACTAATCAAAAATTATAAAAGCACATATAACACTTTGATTTCGTCTAAATTTTCTCAGTTTCAAGGACTTGATCTTTAAAGATGCTTGTTTACAATGCACTATCGGCCATATTGATTATCTTTAAAATGCATAGGTTGGCAGTGGCACTCTTCTAGTGATTTTTGTTTTACTTGTTGTCGCCCTTTTGGACCCTGAGAGCTACGTAAATGGATGTGTCCATACTCTCCCTATAAAGGTACTCTAAAGTAGAGTATAACATTATTAACATTATGTAACTGCAATGAAAATTCTTCTGTCATTATGTCTGACGTAATTAGTTAAGCTCAAAGGGGAAATTATAAAGCTCAAGAAATATTAGCTCTTTGCCTCAATTTGGCAAGTCAGACCTTCCTAGTCGTATCTGGCTGAAACTCAAATGATAAATGTCACTTGGGGAGACTTGGTGCCGTAGATCATATGTGGGAAATTTTTGGAAACCCTCTGTTCACAGATTGAAAGCGTGTTTTTGATTTAAAAGTGGTCAGGAGTTTCAAAATCGTCATTATCAGGAAGTCCTTAGCTATTTTTTTTAGTCTAGCGTTTTCAACTGAAATCTTGATCAATTCCAATGTATCCTATGATATCTATCTTAAAATTTGAGATTTCATCATGTCATACGTAGTAAAATATTAAATAATGTGCCACAAATAATGATACCTACGTCATAGCCGGCTTTTTCCCTTGTAGAAACCCTTCGTCAAAAGTTTCAAGAAATGTTTCACAGTATTTTTTTAAAATTTTTCCAGGTATTTTGAGGAGCGAATTAAATCGTTGAGACAGTTATCGGATGCAAATCGTAGTTCTAATTCAGCATCAGATTCAAGTCAAGAACCAAGAGCTTTCCAACGCTACACTCACTCACCAAAACCTTCTTGCAGTAACATAAATGATGCAGGGAACAACGACCAGCATCCAAAAGCAGATTCATCTGACAGGAAACAACTCAGCTACTTTGAAAAGTTAAAAGCAAAATTTGCGCAGCTGTCACGGCAAATCAAAGAACAGTGCTCTACCAGCACAGAATTCACATCCAACCATTGGCAGCCAAGTTCCTCAACCCAACCCAATGAAACACCATCAAACAACAACGATTCCAACCCATCAAATAGAGTGTCACCAGCTGAGGGTAATGAAACCAGTCATGTTGGCAGTAGTGACACATCTGCAGACTTGAGTGAAAGAATCAATAATATCGTTTCAAATATCCGTAGAGTCGGTAGTTCGCTTAGTCGAAGCATGAGCTGTGAATTTGATGCAGGGAGCTCTAAGATTGAACCGCGGAGAAAGTCAGACTCAGGAGTGAGCGGTGAGAGTCCAGAAAAGAACTCTGAAGGTTCAGTCGACAGAGGACAAAACAATAGTCAGATTCCAGACTCCACCAGTGTTGGGAGTAGTCTTAACCGTCTAAATTCAGAAGACTCACCTGAGGTTAGAGGAAGCAGCTATAAAACTTCAAGTCCCTCCAATAGCAGGAGTTTTGATAGAGTGAATTTGGAAGGTTCGTCAGGAACCAGTTCGTTTGGCGCTGATAATGAGTTAAGACCTGCATTTGTGACTGCTTCTAGCTTGCTTGGGTCGCTGAAGCAGAGTAGTTCTCTGTCCAGCTCATCCACATCGTCGAATGAATCTTGGCAGGGTCCAGTGAGTGAAGTAGGAACAACAGCAGGTGCAACACCCACTATAGAACTTGGAACAACAAGTCCTTCGCAAGAAACAAGAAGGATAGGCTTGAAAAGGAAGCTGGATTCCATTGTGTCCTCTGCACGCATCGCATTACAATCACGCACAGTGTCACCTTTAAGTTCAACATGTGATCTGAGACCTGATCTAGTCACACCCTCACCTGGGTCAAGAGCGGACCTCGCATCGAACGACCTATTTCTCACATCTAGTTCAAGCTCCTCCTCTTCAGACTCTAGCTCAACTTCCAGTTCTGATTCTGATAGTCAAGATCCAACATACGATTCCCTGCAAAACTTGTTTAGAGTACTGAAACAAAGGACAGATTCAATAAATAGATCTTTCAGAAATCAAATCAACTATGCTCCTCAGATTGATCCACCCACTTCTGCTGCTGCTCGTCTGCAGGCTACACTATCGGACTCAAGTAGATACATGGAAAGCCTGTTTGGAGGCCCCTCTGGAAATGTTGATGGTTCTAGTCCTCCAGAAAACAGACCAGCTCTGGATATTGGAGCTGAAATTCGAACTCATATTCAATTATTTCAAGATGCATTAAGCAGGCTGTCACAGGCCAGAAGCAACGAAGAACGTGTAGCGGGTGTTCCTGTTTTGCAGAAAATTCTGAGGCTATTGTTTTACCTCATAGATCTTTGGCTCGGACAGTTAGGGTATCAACCTGAAGGGAGTGAAACTGGGCAAAGTAGTAGTGTGAATGCAAGTAGACTGGCAGCACGAGAGCGAATACTCTCGATAGAGCTAGCTAGTGAGACATCCCTTCCACCGACACCACTTCAGGAGAGGGAGCCCGAGAGATTGTCAAATGGGTTGTCAGAGACTAGTAACAGAAATGATGAACGCCCACCTGCTGAAAATAGAAGGTCACATCCAAGAGCGTTTGCCCGGAGAAGAAGAGATCTTATGAGGAACCATCGCTTGTTATGGTTAAGGGAAAGACTACGTTGCGTCAACGCCAATCAGCGTAGAAGGCAATTAGCTGAAAGCATTGATGCGCGACGCCAGGAAATCAGAAGTAGACTGAACGAGAGCCGCAGGCGATTGACTGAAAGGATGGGTGAGCATCATCGACAATTGGGGGAGAGAGAAGAACGTCGACAGCAGTTGAGTGACAGATTAGAGGAGGGTCGACGACAGTTAAGCGAAAGATTAGAGGAGAGTCAACGGTTGTTAAATGAGAGGCTAGACGAAAGTAGGCGGCAGTTGAACGAGAGAATGTTTGAACAAAGGCGACAAATGAGAGACAGTATGGATCAAGTACAAAGAAGAGCGCAGGCAATGAGAGATGCAATTAGACGGACACAATGCATACGTGATCCAGAAGACTGGCGAAGAGAGAGAAGAGAAGATCTGCGCAGGCTATGCCAAACCACCATGCAAGCTCATTCTGGGCTAAGGTAAGGAAACACTCTTGCTCCCTTTTAATTTATTTTATTCATAAAACAATATTTCCTCAATCATAGGAAACAAATGAGTCTGCAATTCATGAACTATTTCAAATTAATAAAAAAGAACATCCTCTAGAGATGGGGACTTTCTTCAAACTAAGATGTGAAAGATTTGGCAAGTTCAGTTAAAAAATCTCAATTTGCGTTTTCAACAGAAAACACGCTATTTTGTTTTGTTTAGATTAAGGCATGACTTTGCATTCTAATCTGATAATATTCAGCTTTATAAGTCGCAGATATAAGCTTTAAATATTTTTTTTTTTTTAAAATTCTGTTTTAATATGCTGTCGGAAAAGTACCTGGATGGGTTCTGAAATTCAAAAACTAAAACCTAAGACTTGATCTTGGTTTCACTTCAATGATCAACTCAAAGCTATTGATTGAGACCAAGATCAGTTCATATAGTCAAAAATAGAGGAAGTTATGACAGTTTGAATGAAAACAATTTGGACCCCGTACCGTTCTTAGGAAGCATTTTTACTCGCCTTTTCTGGATACATCTGACTCCCTCTTCCACTTCCTTCCCTCTGACTCCTCAAGATAACTTTTTCTTTCTAAAAATATTGGCTATCAATATACTTGTCCATATTCTCTTGTCTCTCATTAAACATGGCTCCTTTCGACTGAAAGTATTTCGTTTTTCAAACTTTTCAATGCAAGGTTTCCAGCCTTTGCGTGTGAACTTTTAATATTCATTCTGAAATTTAAATATCTGGAAGTAATCGTATCCAAGCATGTTTTGTGTTAATTTTTCCATTAATATCTATGACTTGGCTCACCTTGCATCATGAATTTTTGTATTTTTTTCCTTTTTTTTTCTGAGTAGATCCTTGGTGGCAGCAATCGAACGAGGTCATGAGACATCCACAGTATCATCCGCAGAGCTGTTCAGAGGTGATGAAAGAAGCAACTCTAATCTTAGTAATAGGGACAGTCAATCAACTAGTCAGCAACCATCAGTGCCCTTCCGACTGTTAGATCCTATTCTGCAACAGTTTAACAATTCAAGACCATCTTCCGTTTCTCCACAACAACGTAAGAAATGTTTGTATGTTAAGGGGACAAAGTTCTAAAAATGGATTTCATGCTTTCTGCTCATTTTTAAGTATCAGAATAATTTAAATGAATGCCTCAGATTCTGTGCCACAAAGAGTGATAACCAATGAAATCTATGCTATGTCAACAACTGTGCTACTAGCTTTGAGGCAGCGATTGCTCTTTTCAACCTCTTTTGTAGTTCTACTGAGCCGTAAATTTAAAAAGTTTTTCTCCTGTGCTCATAATTTAGATGCATTCATAAAAAAGAAGTTATATACACAGAAAAACATATCGACGGTGTAAGTCGGCAATCACATAACTCGTTTGCGGTGTCTGAAAATCTCCGCCTCTAAGTTATTCTTTTAAGGAGAACAAATTGGCATCATTCACTGAAGTTTTTGCTGAATTTTCTGCGCACAGAGAAGAAAAATCACTGCAATTTTAAAGATTGCGGTTGAGTAATTTTCCATTTAAAAAATAAAGTATGACAAAAAATCTGCGACATCGCAAACCGAGTTATGCGATTGCCGACTTACACCGTCGATATCTGTCTGAAGAATGAATTGCACTTCATGATTGAAGTTTTGACACTGATTTAGGCCAAATTTTATGCCCAAGAACTACCATTAATGAAGAATGAAGCAATGAACCATGCAAGGTATCAACTCAGGCTTTCTGATCCATGTTTCCTTTCCATAATTTCACATAGAGCCTGATCTGCTCAGCAAAAATGAGCACTTGTTTTGAAAAATTTGGACTTCCTGCTCAAAAAGCTCATCTGTGCTCAAGCTGATTGCCTGAACCTCTACAAGACTTGAAAACCAGGAAGGCCCTCAATTGTTTAGATCATAAAACATGAGGAAACTTCATGTGATAGACTGGAAATTTTTCCTTAGTCAATTTTTTACATCTTTAACATTAGCGGTTTGTTCCCTTTTCCAGGAGATCACAATCCCTTTCCTCCTCATAACTCAACGACCAGTGGTTTACAAAGACCAATCCTCTGTGTTCCTTTAGTCCGCGTCAATGATCAACCAGTCAATCTGCCAGCTGAGGCAAATGAGCCCTCACAACGGAATCGTACCAGATCTCCACCGCTCTACTTTGACCATCGTCCAATAGGCGATGATGGTGATAGTCTCGGTCCAGAAGACTCCAGACGTTTTTTGGGACGCAATTTTATTAACTCCTTGTTGGATGATCCAGGCCTCTTACCGGATTCGCCGAGAAGTTATTTTACCAGAAGTGAGTATCATGTGAATGGTGTTTTGTTGGAGTGAGGTGCTTTATATGAAGTATAAATTTCCTAGTCTTTTTCAGGTATTCAATCCTCTCAACATTAATAGAGGTAAATATAGTTCTGTAGCTACTTTTTGCGTCATATCATCAGAAAGCCTCTTTCTCTCACTAATATCAAAGATGGTTTTGTCATTGTCTTGAATTAAGTACATTTTAATATGAAGGAAAATCCAAGTAGGGATGAAGGGACTAATAGAGAGTATTGCCTCCCATGTGGAAGCGGAGTCATCTGATGAACTCTGAAGATTACTTTAGAGTAATGACCAGAGAGTGTTGCCTAAGAGATGGCTCTGTAGCAAAATTGTTTTAAAAAATCAGAGTCCATAAAATTGTGATGTATCATAAGCAAAATTTTCCCTGACAAAACCGAGAATGAACCAAACATTAATATGTCACAGCAATGTGACAACGCCCTTATGGGGCGTAAAAAAATTCAGAGTGCTCTCCCTGATTTAAACAAGCCACCATTTTAACCCAATGGTCTTGCTTAGTGTAATATATTGATCTAGATCCAAATTTCCAACCTCTTACTCATTATTATTTTTTGAAGCATAAATAAAATCTGAAGGAAAAAAATATTATTTCTCTTACAGAGCATTTTAATGCCTTTTTGCCATTTGCTCATTCTTTGTTCATTTATTTCATGGTTTGAACCAAACTTTCCTCTGGTTTCTGATTTTTCTTTTATTTTTACCCTATGAAAAGGAACGATTCCAAATGAATTGCGAGTCTCTCTCCATCATCGAATTCAGGCTTGGGATTTTTCTAAGTGGACTCCTTGGTCAGCCCTTGACATCAAGAACCGTAAGTAAACTTTACAATACTATATGATCCACAAATGTTTCCTGTATCTGAATCATAGTGGTTTCCCCCCACAAAATTCCTCCACTTTGGGAAAAGTTTTCATGCAATTATTGCATAGCAGAAGCTCAGGCACTAATACAACTTTTAATAATTTCAAACTAACTATATTATTTGCATTGCTTGCCAATTCATGTTATTCTCTAGTATGTTAACGCTTTTGAGTCATTTCCTTTTGTCTCTTGCAAATTATATGAATTTTTTACTGTGCATTCGTTTTTTAATGATTTTTCTTCTTTCCTGAGCACAATGAGCTTTTAAAATCGAATTTTTTACCAGCCCATCTCTAGACAAGCAGGCCTGAAAAGTTGATTTTTTGCCCTTCTTGCGTTTCCTAAATGGGACGTAAGATATGTGTGTGTGGAAGTTGGGCTTCTCGCTGTAATTATCCAAAGAGATTTGATGCATTTTGTCTGTCTTATCTTCCTAGCCTGCAAGAGAACAAAAGTTATCTTTGATCAACAAATAAATGTCGCAACATTTCTCTTCGATATTGTCTGTAATGATATTGAAACATTAATCTTTCAATTCTGCTTTTCTTGCACCAAAAAAGTTCGATTTTAAAAGCTCATTGTGCGGAAGCTGTGAGGAACATCTAATCAAATGATATCGAAATTCAGCCAGCTCCAAATTTTTTGGTACTGTTTGCGTAGTCCTCAAAATATTTTTATGCAATGTGAGTCTCAAATACTCCTAATATTCGCTCGTAAAAGTATGAGACTCCGTTAATTGTAATGTTTTTAGAGGCAATGAAGATAAAAAAAAAGTTTGCTTTCATCTCATGAGACTTCTTGAGTACCTTCTTGATCTGTTGTTTAGTGAGATAATAGTGGTACATTCGTGAGAATGCTACAGCAATATTCAGTTCTGTGGTAGGTGAACAGATAGCAGTAGAAGTTATCTGTAAACTACCAATGTAGGGCTTTTTCATTCAGGGATTATGTAAGTTGGAAGTTAATGGGATTTTATTAAAGGCAAAGAGTCATTCAGACTAAGAAGTTCAGTATTTGAGTCCTTAGATTCCCCAAAACATCAATTAAAATCACAATTTATCCAGAAGGAGATTTCGTCTCAGAGTAATAGATTAGAGCCTCAAGGCAGTAGAAATTGAAGATAGCTGCAACAAGTGCTTCACAGTCTTTGCGGGACCAGAAAAAATGTGGCATTTTTATGATGTCTATATAAGTTAGGGAGCAGTCTGTAAATTTTCATTGTTTTGCACAGATTGGCACAGATCCGGCAATAATATGTAAAGTCATGAATACAAGCAGCTTAAGTAAACAGTTTGTTTCAAGAGGAGTGCAAGATAAGTGCTTACTAGTGCAATTTTTTTACAATGTATTGAAAATGAAATATCCCCTCCCCCCCCCCATCCACGATCAAATTCCAGAAATTACCGATATTGTTTTTAATCTCACCCTTATAATTCCTTTATAATTGTTACTTATTTGTTTGCAGCACACAAGAATCTAGTTGTAGCTGATTGTAAAATTTACAATGACGCAAGTGTAGATATATCCTCGGATAGCAGTTTACTAGTGACTCTTCTTCCCTCTAGCCGCTTTGGTTTCACGTGTATGCTAGGTAAGACTCACTTTTTTAATTAGGCTGTTTCCTATTCCAATTTTTTGTGTACTGATGTCTTGTAGACTAACATTTAGATGGGAAATCGACGAACTCATCTCAAATGATTTCTTATAATCCAGTACGTTTTGGAGTCCATCTTGATTCCTCTGTAAACAGATTGAAGTAAATGGAAAGGATCCAAGTCCCATTTTGGAAAAAGTATGTTGTATTTTTGAAAATACATCATGGAATGAGTTAGGTTTAGCTTTAAGGTTGACCAGGTGCACACTTTCTCCTGTTAAACATTTCAAAGTCCTGAATAAATATTTTGAATGTGAAAATAGCTTTTAAACTATATCTCTAGCATCAAGTTTCTTGGAGAAATAAAAGTTACAACCTCTTTTTCTCAGTTTAATATTAATATGACTAGTTTCTCTCTTGTTAAACTCGGTGCAAATGGATCTAAGTAGTCAAGATGTCCTTATACCTTTATCCAATTGATGCTTAAAATCCTTCAAATTTTAAAATTATTTTCTCTAGCTTGAGAATTGAAACTTGAAACTTCAAAACAGTCTATGAGCCATTGGGCGTTGATGATATTACTCCTCTTTTTTTCTGGCCACAGAGGGAGCTAAAGGCTTCTTTCTCAAGGACTTTGCATTGAGAGGTTCCCCTTACTTTTCGTCTTAATTTTGGGTAAAGAGTTGCGCGCATCTACTAGGCACCTACATTTGCAGTTTTTAAAGAGAACCCATATGTTTGAGAAGTGAAATGGAGTTTAAAGACTGAATTGGACAAAATTGGAGACCTAAGCTGTCAGCAATAGATGGACATACAACAAATAGATAAAACTAGGCCTGGAGCAAATAAAGAGCGTTTCCTATGGTTTCCACACAGGCAGTTGCTTTTTGTGTACTTCATCAAAATGAAGACTAGATCGCACCAAAGAAGTCATTTGTAAGAGATTTAGTAACACCTTCCTGTCTCTGCTTTTAGATGGATGGTTTTGACCATACCTCTTTTTTTAGTACAATTGTCTCTCTGTTAGTGTCAAGTGCATGTTGATATAACACTTGTCACTTGTCCCAAACTATTGCACCTATGTACATCTTTTTCAAAACGATCAGTACATATAGTTAGACCTACTTTGTTTAAATGGATCCAATCAGATCTTTTGACCATTATTCTAAAATTAAAAGAGACACAGGTACAGATTGCAACACCTGATGGAATCCAAAATGTTGGGAATTTGTATTCTACAATTGCCAGTTCTCATTGATCCTCTCTCATTTTCATTGATTTTAATGCTGTGTTCTTATTCATCCTTGCATTTCCAGGAATATACAGCCTTGAGTGGGAAACACTAGGTCAGCGCCTATATCAAGTTAGTTTCGAGCAGAATGCTGTTTCTGTTAGTCTTTCACCAACCTGCCGCTATCTTGTTGTGGGGCTCTCGGCACGCCGCCGCATTTCACTGGGAACTGAGACTGACACAATCGCCCAAATCCTACAGCTGGATGGGGGAGTGCCCTCAAAGCACAATAGTTCTCCACAGAGGGGAAAGTTGACCAAAGTTAGGGGCCTTGAGCTTTACCGAGAACTGAGCTCCATGAGTCTGAATTGTATACGCTGGGCCCCTACGCCAGGCCAAGGAATCGTCTGCGGCACCAACACTGGTCAACTTACGTTTCTCAGATAGACAAGAGTGAACAATTCATGCTCAGATGTGACCGTCCATGGACAAAGGCGCCTACTGTTAGAAGCAAATTATTCAGGACAGTGATTTTTGTACAGCCTAGTCAAAGAATCAAACTTTTGAGTATCTATAAAAAAATTGCTCACTGATATTCCAAAGAATGAGTTTCAAGCAGTCAAGTACACTTTTGTGGCAACAAACAATTTTCATTTCAATCAGACTACTCTGAGCGTCGAGCATGACTGATTGAAACTTTCAGTAACTTTTTTTCACTTTTTGAATCAAGTAACTTTCAAACCATCATATCTATGGTTCGATCCAACATTCATTTTGGGAACTTTTGGTATAAAAATATTCGTAGAACACCCGCTAAATTTCAATCCAGAGTTGCTCGACACTTAGGTCCTTCTTATTATGGACGGTCACAAAAAATGAAAGATCTCAGTGTTTTCTTTAAGTCTGTATCCTTCAATTTAGAAAGCAGTCATAACTTTCCAAATTTGCAGACCCCCCCAGGATTGTTATGCATCTTTCTCTCAATGAGGGTGAAAATCAGAAAATGAAGACTTATCTTTGGCAGGATCTCATTGAACGATCAGTTTTCAGGTTTTCTCTGAAGCAGCAAGAGAGCTTTTTTTTAGATGTTGATAATAGATGATGAATAATGTTGATTACTGATGCTATTACAGCAACCCACTAGACAGGGTCTGAATTTAAGCATTATGTCTTGTGCTTTTTCACAGTGTGAATTTCTTGAATAAATCCCATACGTTTTTATTCAACATTAGTTTTTAAAAATTCGTGTCTGCCTTACAAGAAATATAAAATTTATGCCAGTCAAACTGGCCATTGAGGATGAATTTACATGTTTAATTATTATTTTCATCAGTTTTTCACAAAATTTTCTTCCTTTTTTGATGTGGTGTACTTCTAGTATGCAGAAGGGTATTTAATATATTTTCCTATACTCTTTAACGGACCACTAGGCAAGTTACGAATTTAAGTTTTATAATTCATGTTTCCCCTTCAAAATTTCTTTTTAAATTCGATTAGCACATCAAAAATTACTGAAATTAAATCTTAACGAAGAACTAATGTTTTTATTTTGCACCGGTTACGAAGAATTTAAATTTTCGGCTCTCAAGAAAAATCTGAGTCTACGTAAATCTAATTGCACTTCATTATGGTTTTGGCAGACTTCTTTAGCAAGCAATGTTCCTTCTCTGCCCCCTGCGGGCTGATTATTGAAATAGGGCGACAAAGCTCAATCGACTCTATGTTGTGTCGATTGGGTTAGCGGAGAGCCATTTTTTAACTTCTCGGACCCGACATGACAAGACTAACTGTTTATTTGAGGGGATAAGACTAACGGCATCGTTGCCGTCGTCGGTCGCGTAGTTATCGAATTTTTAAATGTCTTTCAACCAATCAAAACGCAGCACGGCCAAGCGAATGACGTCAGTCCGCTATTTTTATTCATCCGCTTATTGATGACGTAGATTTGGTTGTAAACAACCCGTTGACCGCTGCCTTGGCTAATAACACATGGTTGATCATCGGATCGAACGATCGGATACCCAGCATTGCGCAATGTGGACCATACTAACGCGTTTGAATTTGTTGGGACCGATCTCATATAAAAAGTTGCACTTTTTCACTTCAAAAATTAATTTTTTACTGAATCGTGCAAAAATAATTGGAGGTTATTGATCGACTAAGCCTTTGTTGGGTGCTCCAAAGGTGCCTGTAGCTTGTCGGCGCTACGTTTTCTTTTAGTCCATGAAGCGATAGGACATAGATTTAAAAAATAGCGCTTACCACTCTGGTGGTCAATGGTCGATTGCGCGATACAACAAAGTGGCGACATAGAGTCGATTTCATTTCAATAATCGCCCCGCTGTTATTCAAAGTGATAATAAGGTGCAACAGCTGAGTTGAAGAGCTAAGATTGAAGTTGCCATATTTTTCATACCACAGAGACTGTTATGTTAATGTTTAGGTTGCGACTCAACTCAAGTAGATAGCGGTTTTTTTTCATGAGTGGGAAGTTTGAATTTATGCATCTTAATATCTTGGTTAGGAGTAAATTTATTAATTTTTGTTGCAAAAATCCTGATCTGAAAAAACATGTTTCATAATGCTGAACTTTGCACTTTTTCTAGTGGTCCATTATGAAGCATAACAATATTTGAATCAAAACGACATTTGATGCAAGTGAATTATCGTTCCTCGATGAGCTAGACCCGAATTTAGTTAGCAGAGTTGTGGTCGACCGTGAGTTGAGGCAAGGATGCTGACTTTGTTGTTTGGTAAATAATTGATGGTTTGCACTGTTGAGGAACGAAGGATGGCTCGATCCTGCTGTAAAAAAAGCTCAACTCGCGGACAGCTTGGGTTTAGAATATAATTTTTGCAACTTAAAGTCGAATTTAGAGGTTAAACTTCTTAACATGCAGTCTTGCAGTCAACTATAAACCAACAAGATTTAGGTCCTAGATATTTAAAACAGACTTTTAAAATATCAATATGTTATTTAAAAGATTATTTGTGAATTTTTCATGAGGAATTAGTCAACGTGGATCACTTTTATATTCAGATCCTGGCTACTGGTCTGTTGGGCGAATGAAGTAGATGTTTAGAGAAAGTTTTTAAGGTCAATGAAAAAAAAAATAGGAAATCTCCTCTTGAAAAATTTTGCAATTCATCCATCCAATGCATTTTTACAACTGTCTCTCTTTTATATTCATTTCTAAATTTTTTTTCTTAAAAATAAGTGGATAACTTGTTACAAAGACTCTCATATCAATCTTTGTGAATCGAGGTCGATCTGATTTAATTCATTTGCATAAGAAACTGCCTTTACTCTAGAATGAAAAAAAGCCTCTTGACCTGAAAAACCACCTCAGCTGAACAAAATCCGAATAGAAAACAAAACACCTCACTGTTTTTCATAAAAATTACACGCTAAACACAATATAGGTAATTAAATTTTAAAAAATCAATCCTTCACCAAAGTACATGTTTCAGTCGATTCAATGTGTAATCTATAGAAGATCAAGGCATCCCAAATAGAAATGAAAGTGTGAGACTAATCAATTATTTAGGCCAAACTAAAACTTTCTTCTGTAGCGAATTTTCCTTTGAGCCATTCTAAAAGGAGATAAGTTTTATACGAAAGAAATCAATTTTTTCAAAATTTAGCCATGGATACCAACCGAATAAAATGAATTCAGTCCACTAGTGTATTTTTCTGCAAATGGTCCATACTTGGCTGGAAAAAAAAGAAAAAACTGAGGACAAGGAGAATTTTACGGCTTTCTAGAACTTTGAAACCTCTCCTTTAACTGGTGTCCTTTGTTAAACCTCCTTCTGAGCGCCAATTTCAAGTCATTCGGCTGATAACTGATGTTGCATTTCGACAAAATTAAGTTTTCCTTACAAAACATTAAAGGCCTTACCCCCTCTTAAAATGGCTTGAAGGAAAAGATGCTATAGAACAAGAAAAGTTTTGTCCTAGGTGTAGGAATGAATTTTTGATATATCTATTTTGTAATTTGAGGTACTCTGTATGGGCATTGTCTTTCATTTTATGTTGCATTAGTGTTACCCCAATTGTAAATCTATTATTTTGAGTCAATCTTGTCTCATATTGTTTTTTCGTGTACATTTTTTTGAGGAATTAGGTATTGGCTTCAATTCAGGCCTTGCTCACTTGCCTATTCTCAAGACTGTGAGACAAATGCGGAAGCCGGAAAACGAGCCTACAGCTGCATCAATTACTTCTACTGCTTAATATTCTCTATTAATTTGTCGTTCAATGTAGCTGCAATCTTTCAATTACATTGTTTACTTGCGATCTTCTGCGAACCTGTATTCTTCTTTTTAAGGTCATTAAAAATAACTATTTTTGTTTATATTTCATCGCGTTTTTCTTCTCTGTGGCCTCCCTTTTTTGGCAGGGACAGTGCAATTTGTATTGGTTATGAATTCACTAGTCTTTGAGGAAATCGGTGAATCAAGGCATACTGTAGTAAGTAGGGGTTGGTAATCCTTGATCAGGTCAGTTGAGCTCTTCACAGAATCACGTCCTCATTATCTAAGCTCATAGATTAGAAGAATATAACATCCAAACGCTTAGTTTTCGTGTCTAATATTAACGAAAATATTGCCTTTCAAAATAAATTTTGTATGAAGTCCTCCACTGCGGTAATAGATACATACCATGGAATTTTTCACCTTGGTTTCATTAATTAGTGATAAACTCTTTTGCACTGGTCGCTCGGCACAAGACTTAAGGTGGAAGAAACCACGGTATGTGCTGCAAGGTGGATGATGTTATACGCAGTTTTTTTTTAATGGATGATATCTCTGTTAATATAGTCATAGTACTTTGGCACTAAGATAAATCTCATTAATTTTTAGTAATCTTTTTGCCTGTGTCACACTATTAAAACACTTCCATTAAAATGCCGAGGTTCGGATACGCAAGCAGCAGCTTCTTTTTCAAAAGCGTGCGGCCCACATGCTTTTGAAGAGCTAGTAAGCTCTGATTGGTTCCTCCGTTTCGTCGTCACAGAAACATGCGCAGAGCACTGACCTTAACGTTTTGATGGAACGCTTAGATAGTGTGACACAGGCAATACCCTTACAGCATCAAATTGCGATTCTGTGACTAATACAATTGACCCATTGCCCCTGTTTTTCCAGGAAATATATCTTCTGCGGAAAATTAGTGGGCGTAAGAAAAAAATTAAGGCCGTTTTGGACTGTGCATTAGAAATTACATAGGAATCCACTAGCGTATCTGCAGCATCTTCAACAAAATTTGTTTTGGAGACTTTTGTTGTAGAAATACAGGTGAAATTCTTAAGATTTCTTCTAAATAGTAAAATTAGTCAATCATTTCACGCATGTTATTCCAAGAAGACAGGGTTTGAGTAGTTTCCAATTCTCATAATTGCAAGCTGTTACTGAGTATGAGGGTTACATGAATGGAGGAGACTTAATTCTGTGATATCCATCATGACTAGAACAAAAGGTGCTTGTGTCAAGGAGGGTTAAAGGAGGTATGTACAAGTTGATTTGAGAAACATTTATTTTGCAGAAAAAATAAATCAACGAACATTTCTCAACATGACAGACAAAGTGGGAGTTTATTCCCCTATGGTTTACAAAATTTTTTGAGAAAAATATATAATACGAGCCTTATTGTTTTTGAGTTGCGTTGAGGATACCATGATTTGAAAGACGATCATGCATTTTCTGCCTATAATATTTAAAACATATTCGGCAAAACTGGTGCTAGTTTGTTTACTAGGAAGTTTAATACATCTACCCAGGTAGCCTCTGGTGATAAGATAATATTAAAACAAATTACGTAAGCACTCCAGTCCAATATTTAGAATTATTTCCTCACTAAGGCAAACCTCCAAAAACAAATTAAGAGATTACTTTTTTAAGTACTTACACACAGCCTAAGGCTACATACCACCATTTTAGAGACTTATTGAGACGCGCAGAGGGTACATGCTTTGCCTTGCAATTTAAATCCTTCCGTGATGCGCCCAATGCCATGTGACAACAAGTAGGTACAAAGTGCAAGCACAAATGTGAATCCATCTTTCACAGAGCTGTTATGTTTACAAATCTTCAAAATAAAAACGATCGTCATGGCCCATTTTTGAGTGGGAGTCAACATTAATAGGAGAAGATCTCTATCTGTGTTATGCCATTTATATACTTTTTTTAGAGTAAAATTTAGTTCCCTTCCAACGCTTTTAAATGCTACCCATTTACATCTCATGATTTTACAGAGAGCAGAGACAACTCTCTCCCACAACCTCCCTTATCCAGATTATTATATCCATTTTATTTGGCATCAGTTCTTTGTGTAGACTAGTCGCAAAAATGGGCGTATTTCTTTATGCCTATCAATAATTGAAAACTTATTTTAAGTTTTTAGAGGGTGGTACGTGGTTTCTCATACAGCAACAACAACTACATACAAAACAATACCTAATCAATTTGAAGAGTAACACTTGAAGGCACAGTTGGCAAAAATCGCATAAATTAAAATATGTTTAGGCTCTACAGTTTTACTGAGTTAGCGGTATTATTAGAATAGAGTATTAAATACTTAATAAAAAAATAATTCAATCATTTACTCATTTGAAGAACTTTCAGACAATGTTAGCAACCTTTCAAAGATTCGACATGAATAAAATTAAACGGTTAATAAAAAATAACAGACGTGCATTTCATGCTGTAGATTTTAAGACATTGCTCAAAGCATGGAAACATCGAAGAATAACAGTTATTGAGGGATACGGAAAAGATTAGAGGCAAATCAACGAAAAAATAGTTACAATAACGAGCTTGAAATTCTTAGAACTCCACAAGTTTGAGAAAGTTACAGTGAGAGGTATTTAACATGTTCGTTTAAAAGGAGACGCAGAATAAACAGAAATGAGATCCTGTTTCTTTAGAATATGAGTCTGCACACAAAAAATCACAAAGTACAAAATGGCATAGCAATGCTGCGTAACAATAATACATATTCCACATTCATAGGTTTCATGACACGTGGGGTTTTAACATATTTGCCGGGCATAAATTAGGTAAAATATTTTTGATTTTAAAATATTCAATATTTTGAGTTCAGTGTTCATTCAAGCACAGATTTAACTGGCATAGTAACCTTTTGTAATATTTACAAGAACACTAAAAAAATGAGTAATGAAAAACTAAACTAATAAAAAGTTAAACACAACAAAGTATGCCACACAAAAATCAACAATTTGATATTGATTATTCTTATAACTTATATACTTAAACTTTATGCTATATGTCTGTTGAATACAAGGTTACAGAACAAAATTCACATGAATTCAAGGCAGTTTCTAAGTTTGTTTTTGACTACTAGATCAGGCAAACAATTGACCATAAACGGAGAGAACACAAAGCTGATTTCGAAAAATGAAAGCCCACATCTTTTGGTTTCGTAGTAGTTATCTCCCTTTATAACCATGAGGTCCTCTGCTGCATTACCTAACAGAATGACCTGAGTATAACATAGAACTAAAAAGGGATACCAATACCAGGTGGTCCTTTAAACTAATTTGAGGACCGCAACAAAATTTGTTTAATCACAGGACGGTGGGAAATATTTTAAAACATTCTTTGTGGGGATTTTTTGACAAAAATAGCATCATCTAATGAGACATTTATGCATCTATTTTTCCAGTTGAAACTTGGGGTTTCAACAATCAATATTTGCGCATAGTTTTAGTTATCTTGAATTGAAGTGAGAGGAGTAATTATCAAAAAGGAATATTTTATTGCTGATGGATACCATTCGAAGAGAGTGCAAGGAAGGGTTTGACATGCCAGTCTCAAAATTTAATTGGATTAAAATAATTAAAATATTTACACGGATTTATAATCACATTGGTACTTGCGCTTGATAAATGAAGCGGGCAAAGAGAAAAGAGTCCATGTCCATAGTCCTGTTTACATTTTTCTTAAAATGGTGCAACTTTGCTTTTTTTTTACAAAATACTAAATGCGTTCTCTCCTATAGTTTTCAAAATTATGAAAAATTTTTGAGGGGAAAAAGATGCAATACTTAATTTTAAATTTTGGTGAAAACATAAATAAATGAATAAAAATCTTAAGTTGTGCAATCTTTAAAATATGGTCTTGGAACCAGGCTCTTTTTCCTTTGCGATCATCAGATTTCCTATACTTCGTCATTTGAAATAATCGTTCTGCTAATCCTTGAAAAATATGACACAAGATCATTAGTTTGTGACAAAAATGAAAAAGAGTACAATCCTTCTTAAGACTGATTTTTGCAACAAACTGCCTTTGGAAGATATTAAGTTCCATGTGATTATTGTCAATTTTATTGAAAAGACATCGACAGAGTTGTGAAGTTGAGCAATTGGGCATAAATGCAAAATGGGAGTGTTCGTTATTGGAAGATAGTCATTTGTTTATTTGTTATAAATGTATGGAAGACAGAAACTTTAAGGAACCTTCATATCTCATACTGAGTTACGGGAATCTTGGAAAAGTTTGAACCAGAGGCCCAATTTAGGTTTAGTATGACCTGAGAATTTTGTTTCTTTAATTTTTGAACCTTCCTTAATGATTAAGAGAAACTTCGTAAAAAGAAATAGGTATCGGAAATATCCACATCACAATCTTACGTATCTGTATGGAATGTATCTGATTGAACGCTTGTGCGAACTTTAAATTGAGAGAGTTTCCTCATTGTGGGGAAAAAATGCATCAACACTAAAAGTTATTGATCAGGAATAAAAGAGAAGTGGCCTAGGGAATAAAGGTCTGTTAACCCTTAAAAAGTCTCTTTCAAGGTTAAAATTCAAGTTTTGCACACCTCTACTTGAGCCCTACACAGCATCTTGATTATGCAACCCTCTAGGATTCATCATCTTTATTGGCCTATTTAATTGTTACTCCACTGAAAAGTGGAGCAACGTTCAAGGCCCGGCCATAATTCCACAAGCCAAAATCTATCACCAACTTCTTTGGCTCAGAGCAGTGACTTTTCAAGATTGCTCCGTTAAATTGTTCAATATCCTTACTTAAATTTTCTTTTTTGGATGTCAGCAACCATCTAAAATTTTTGAATTTACTAACTTTAATTTTCTGGTTTAAAGTTGCTTTTTGAAAATTGTAAAATAAAAAGAAAGTGATGACAGATGGGTCTCACAGTGAGAGGCGTAAGCAAAATTTGAGCAAATTAAGACTCTCTGTCATTGGGTTTTCATTCTTTTTGTTATCATATCACCCTGATTGCCATTTTGAGTTGGATGAATATGTTCTATTGTATTTACTTATTTTTTGGATAGTATTAGATAGCAAGACCCTATGCTCCACAAATGCAGTTGCTTGCGAAAGGGGATAACAACATTTTGTAGATAATTAACTTTAGTCCAATTGTAAAATGAGAAACTATCTATGAAGGCATTAAGAATTTGGAGCAAAAACATAATAAAACAAAAACATGCTGAGTCACAAAAAGTTAGAAACTAAAAAAGTAGTAACAACATAAAAGATATTGAAATGTCCCAGAAACCGATTACTTAAAAACCTGATAATTAATTAGTGATAGGTACGAATGTAACTATGAACATTAACGTGACAATTTTAAAACACAGTAAACAATTGGAAATGTACACAGAAAAACATCGCTATTCATTTCCCGGTGAATTACAATGAGTGCAAATGTTTGAAAAGTACAGCCAGAGCAGGAAAGAGCACTTTCAAGGATAGTTAGAAATCAAAAACCGATGTTTAAATGGTAATGACGGGTAAAACTCACACTGACAACAACAGAGAGTAAACTCTCTTTTTTTCTTCATCCATGTGATCATTTCATGAGACCATCTCAAAATATGGGAGAAAGACTTTTTACAAGGGATATTCAAGGTATTAGCTATTGAGGGTAATATTGATACGAGTTAGTTTTAGTGATTAGTATTTTCAAAACTACTTGATAGTTTTAAGAAAACCCTTTAAGTTCTATTATATTTACATAACTAGATTGTTACGAGGATTTTCCATGAATATCACACAAAAACTTCCCAAACAGAAAATGCATTAGATTTCTTTTAAAACCTACAATGGGTACGCTGAGTATGATCATTAATCAGAAAAAATAGACTCTTCAACAAGATAAAATATAAAACTTTTAATGGTATCATTGAGTAAAAAAAAGTTTCACTCAAATCATAGATAGAGAAATAAAACATCAATAATAGGTAATTGCATGTAGAACAAACGCGGAAGATTTTAAAAAAGAGATGATTTAACAGGAAAATGAAATGTTCATTGGAAGTATGTATCAGTTGAGTAAAAAACAAAACTAGTAATAAAATATTAAACTTAAATCACCTATTTAATAGATGGACAAAGTTTTGGACTGATAAAGAAAATAGACACCTTTCATATAAATAAAGTATGAATAAAAAAAAATAACAAAAAAATGTGGTTGCCACAATCAGAGAGGCCTCTTAAAACATTCTGACAAGTAAAAGAATTCTTTGCTTCTAATATTTCGAGTGGAAGCGTATCTGCTTTTTATTTTGTTGACGTTCTCTGTCCGAGTTATTTTTATAAAATGCAGGTACAAAGGAGCAAGATTTTACTGTGTACATCCATTGAAAATTACAGGACCCTTAAAGAGGGAAACAATAGCTACATTCATACGAGCAATTCAATGTGGGATGAAAGAATATTTCAGAATTCAAAATGACAGGTGCATGTCAAAAACCTTCATGAGAACACAGTCACAAGCCAAGTATGAGACTGGTAAAAATTCAATACAATCTGAATAAAAAGCGTATGATGTTTTATGACTCAGATCAAAAAAGACATATTTAAGCTAAAACCTGATCTCAACGCGAATTGAGATGAATTTGCCTTTCCAAACAGCAGTAATCCACAGCCTTAAACCTAAGATTCGTTTGAAAGCAGGATTAGTATAAACTTGCACTTTTTGGATCAGAATCCAGCCAGAATTGATGAAAAATTGATTAGAATCAAGGGTTCATAAGAAGTGTCTTTTTTCATGCATGTTGAATCCGTACTCTGTAACTCACATTGACAGTTACGCATTAATTGCTCGTATAAACATAGTAAATAACATGATAAAATAAAAACAATGCATAAAATATAAGAAAATATTTCTCTCTTTTGCCCGTCAAGATTTTTGTGTTACAAGACTTATCTATTTCGAAGCCTTTTTCTCAAAAAATGAGTCATTCATTGAACGTAGGTACCCATTTTTTTCTTTCTTTAATTCTAGAATTTTTAATTCAGAACTCGACTGACACTATTCAGAGTATATTAAAATCAAAGTGTGTATAATTTATTCATGCAAATGTTTGGTTTTGAATGGTAACTATTCAAATCAGTGAGAACCATTAGATGGGAGAAAAGAAAAAAAAATGATGAAAAATGGAATCGGCTTATCTGAAACAGATGAAATATCCATCAGCTGTCAGTCCATTAAAGATGAAGATCGATTCAGTCTTTTGAAGTCTTGTAGAATCCAAAATTGAGTCTCAGTTGCTCCATGAAGAGGAAGGTTAGGATTGTGTGAGGAGCTAACCTAACAAAAGCTGGAACATAACCCTGAAAAATGGAAAAAGACATAATGACTCATGAGAGAGAAAAATGTAACCGTGTCTGTGAAGAAGGACCTTATCTTTCGGGAGAAATCCTTAACTTAGTGCAAACACCTAAGCCACACTTTCTTACAACCAAAGAATGAACCGGTAGCTAAATGCAGTTTGTGCAGTCATGAAGATCATTCGGATCCTGTTTAGTCAAAAGAAGTGAAACGACGTTGAGTTTGGGCAAAGAAAATTGTTTGAGGTTTTGCTCCTCTGAAAGACTTAAATAATGAGGAAGAAGTCTGACCCCTTCTCCCAAATTCAAAATATTTTCCTTGGCAGCAACAACTGAAACCAATGAGGCGAGCCATACAAAATGTGGCTAGGTTTTATTTCCTGATTCAATCCAATGTAACGGTTTCAAAATGAGATATCATGAATTTTATTAAGATAAAATTTATCGCTTTACATCCTATGCTCCTTGAGAGATGATTTTTGCAAAATTAAAAAATTATTCAAAATTAGGAATGATTATGAAAAGATCTGAAAAAAGAAGTTTGCTGAATCAAGGATGCATGCTCAAACATAAATATAAACATAAATTTAAGGACTCACCTTGAAGAATCCTAGAGGGCCTAACTTCGCCGTATAAGTGACCAAGTGCCAGAGATTCTGAAATTAAAAAAACAAAAAGACCTCTGAAGCGGTTCATTCAAAAAAAGAAGGAAAAAAAAACATTTCTTCAAACATAATGATTGGTCACCCTCTTGCTAATCTTACAAATGAAATACGGAACATTGAACCATTTTCAATTGATTCTATTTGTGAGAGAGCCCTGATTCATTGATGTGCTTTCCTAAAGCAAATACACTTTTGGGATCCTCCCTGACCCGGACCTCAGCTGAAATCTTCAGAAGAGCACCGATCCGAGTATCCAATCTGCGGTGTTGCCAATAAACTTGTACAAAGCGCAAGTTCTTATGTTTCTCCTTTCTATTCCAGATTTTTCCTGAAAATATTCACTTCAAACAGCAATGACATGGCAAATACAGTAAGGATGAATAACTTCTTATTGCAATTGCGGCTAGAAAGTATATAAAAAAATACAGGTAAAGGAATACACAATGGTCAATAAAATCTCTCAGTTCGAAAACGACCCATATCGATAAAATGAAATTTTTTGGGAGACGATAGAAACTGCATGACAGTCAGAAAAGGAGTGTTCCTGCACAAAAAAAATGATCATTGAAAAAACCCGAGTTGGGTCGTTTTTGAATCGAGAGATTCAATTCTCCTGAAAAAAATAATCTGATAACGCGATAGTTTTCCATTTGAAATGAAGTTGGATTTTTGGAGACTTTGAGAGTCATTTTCTCAGGTAAGAATTGATTAAATGAAAAACGAAAAAAGGTTGGCGTTCTCATTATTTGCTCACTTTCCAAAAATTAATTTTTTTAAAAAAACAGGGCAATAGTCCATTGAAAAGCTCAATGAACCCACAGATTATTATCTTATTTACCAACAGAGTTTTAATAACTTTGCCATGTCATTCACCCTTAAAAAGTTTCTTCCACGCCATTTTCAAAAAGTCTGCAACACATTTAGAGATAAACTGCGGGCTGCTGTGACAAATAAATTAAAACAATATACAGTAGGTCAAAATTTAGGAAACATAAGGTCAAAGTGAAACCTTACCTTATATTCTCCAGGCTTTGCATTCATGGCTCTAGTTTTGAGTACATCTAAGGGCTGTGTCAGGGAAGTTGCAACTGCGCCCTGAAAAATGAAGTATTGGGGGTTAAAGTTAGGAAGCGGAAACGGAAGATATGATTCCAATGAAGAGAATCTAGAAAAAACACAAATTAACCTGTTTTCTGCACTAGTTTAATGTTGTGGGGGTGATAGAGCAAGAAAATTCATGGGACAAATTTTTATGAGAGAAATATTTTAATTCTTCATATGATTTTAAATTATGTACAGTGAACGCTTTGATAAATACGAATACAGAAAATACGATTGGAGTGTTTGTACATACCGCTGTTAAACTCGATAAGAAATGTGTCGTTGGGTTGTCGGAAAAGTAAGGTGTGGAAATTAAGAACTGTTTCACTTGATCATAAAATGAAAGTTGGCCGACAGTCATCAGCACAGCCCTTGATGTTGCCATTTCAACACCGGAGAACAACCTTCGGAAACCTTCTTCTTTCCAAACTCGGATAAAGCCATCAATAGCATGTTTGTAACTAAAAAAAAACAACAAAAGGAATAGGATACATTGCAAAACTACATTAAAACTTTGAGATCCAAGAGTTCCGTAATATGATCTTTACCTTGCAAACATTTAATAAAAGGGAATGTTCGAGTCATTATCCATAAAAAAAATGACATCATCCATCAAATATTTTCTTCTTTGTCCTTGTGTACTCCTAAAATAAATATAACTTTGGCAAGACTACTTGTAGCTCGGGAAAAAGAAGAAAACTAAGGATGAATATTCTTTGGACACTTTAAAAAAGCTTGTTTATTTAATACTTGCTTTGGCTTTTTAGAGTCCACCAAAAATCAAAGAACGAGCGAGTTCATTATGAGTGTGAATTAATTTGGATAAAGTAAAAATGAGTTTTCAATGGCTGATAAAATGAATAAAATGCCGAAATTTCATTTCACATTGAATTTTCTTTAGTCTTCTAACCATACCTTCCCCACCTTTTGGTATCTTTGATACCACCATGTGTTTTTTACATCATGAAAGTTTTTACGACAATCTATGGATATTTTCTTTAATTACAATCATTGCAAAAATGTTCTTTTTCAGAGTTGTATTCACCTGCTTTCTCTTGGGTTGTTCATTTACAATTATACTTACTTTCTACGGCTTTCTGCAGGCAACTTAATATCGTTCTGCATTCGAACGTTAATCATATCGGCGGGGGTTCCCACAAAACCTCCTGCTGCGCCCGCAGCTGAGGCAAGTAAAACTTTACTTTGGAATGACAAATTTTCTGCGCCACCATTGGCAGAGCTTAAGCCTTGTTTTCCAACCTGAAACAAAGATGAAGCCAGTTTTAATAAAAATAAGTCAAAGAAGTCATTTTCTTACTTTCCAGAAGCACAGTGGTTTCCACTGTGACCTGCTGCTTTTGACTCTGTGTATTTGTCAGGCATTTAATATTCTCTCGAACACGTCTAGACAACAGTCAACTGTTGATGAGAAGAAATGGAATTTACTGGAAATATTTTCATGGTTTTTTAAAATTGCTTTAAACACTAGATTGATGTTGAGCCAAAAAGCCACAGATATTATATCGACCATGGTTCAGACTATCAGTATTTTATGCGAGGGGAAAACTGTATGAATGTGAACAATTGATGGAATTTTATTTGGTCTTGAATTGTGCATTGCAACCTTGGAGACAGCAGTAAACTACACTAAATATTATTGATATTCATTTGAGATAATTCTATTATTTCAATTGTTTCTTAATTATTTGTTAGGTATCTTTTGTGAAGTGTCATTCCAGGATATTCATGAGCATACTTTGAGTCTGAAGATGCGTTGCTACTGCCTTCCATAATTAATGAGAGAAAAAAAGGCGTAATCTGGAAAACATTTCAAAAGTTTTGGGCTTTCCCCAGGAATTTTTCAGGCTTTTTCTTACCTGCGCTTCTCAAAAATGATGCATTTAGAATTGGTTCTGGTCAAGTTAAAAAATCTATGTCAATCAAGATGTTAAAATTTTGTAAAAGATTTCTTGAAAAGGTTTATCACAAAGAAGAACAAACAATCAAAGGGGAAGACAAGACATTCAATTAAGTTAAGAGACAATACCTCATAAATGCCAAACCGCACAGTGGAATAAGTTAGCTGCCGACATAAAGATGCTGAGAGACCATTGTACAGAGCTCCAACACCTTGTTCTTTGGATATCGTGACTGCTAACTTCAATGCTGATACTTTGCCTTCTTGTTGAGTTTGTAGCATAACCTGGGCAGAGAGCAGCCAACAAGAGCAAATTAGGGAAATATTAAAAACTAATAGTTTTATATTTTGCAGATTTCCTGTCGTATTATCCTCATCAGTAAGATGACTAGTCATTGTTCTTACATAAAATCTTGTACGATTTTTTTTGCCTTCCCAGGAATGTTTTCTGAAAAGTTTGCATGAATATATAAAATAGTGTTCTCTTAAAAAAGTAAAGGAGGAGAAATTCTGGAACACCCCAGTCAAGATACAGGTTTTAATAACTTTATTGTTAGCAAGGTGACTTATTTATTTTGCTGACAAAGTTCAATGTTAAATTTCAGTTGTGATGGTACAAGAAGCTTTTGAAACTAGTTATATGACTCATGTGTCTGTTGACCTCTCATTTGTCGACCCCCCCCCCCCCCAAAAAAAAAAAAACAGATTTCCTTAAATAAGACTTAGAAGCTAAGAGAAAAGCTGGTACTTATGCTTCAAACAGTTTTAGATTTTCCACTCTTTCTGTCATTTTATTTAGAGAAAAAAACTTGGAAGATTTTTACAGGATCTTGAAAAACTTATTAGAAAAAAAAGGTATAACACAGGCTGAAGATGAAAATTAAGTGTCGACACGGCAGAAAATGCACAATGCTTTTTGACATTGAAACAGTGGTTGTTAAAATTCTTTCTACTCAAAATTCTTGTTCACAAAACTGTTCCTTCTTAGAATTTTAGATTTTTCTTATTTTTCATTTGTTTCTCTCAGCTGTTATGATTTACTCAATTCGTTCAATGCTGGGGTGCCTCAGGTCTGCTTTTTTTTCTCTTTACATTTTTTCTCTCTTTATAATAAATACATGAAAAATCAGAGGAAAAAAAAACACTCAAAATGTGGTCAAATTTTTTTTTTTATTATACATCATGATAATAAAATGGACTACATTTCGCTGTTAGGAACTACAATTTCTGGCTCAGTTATGAAACAACATGTGTGTGCTTAGTTTCCTTAGATGAGCATAAATATTTTTATAGATGAGCTGGAACCTGAAGTTCCTAATTGCAAAATGTGGTCCAAATAGTGTTGGGCCTCATTATTTTGTGAGTAAATCAGAGCTCAAATTAAGCATTTGAGTAGAAAAATGAGCTGTGCATCTATTCATCTGTTAGTTTTGCACTGGAGTGTAAAATATAAGAGGTTATTTTTTAATCCGGACTGTTTGAGAAAATTTGTATTGGAATACAAATAAGTAAAGAAAACATCTCACCTTTAAGAGATCGAGGGGATGAGTGCAACAAGCAGCACCAGCAGAGGCAAGACCTCCGAAATACCATCGTGAGACTTTTTTGTTTCTATCCACACCTGCCATTTTACGATCAGCTCTGGAACAATTGAGAAAAAAATTGCAGTCAGGCATGACTGGAATATTTAGCAGGAGCTCAGTTGATGCGCCTTTCATGATTGCTATTTACATACCTACTTGCATAAGGGGCCATCCTTAAATTACATAAGGCACTTTTCCCCATTTTTAGATCCCCCTCCCCTCCTCGTAAGGCACCATGAGGCATCCATTCCCCCCCCCCTCTAAAAATTACATAAGGCTTGACTGACCCTCTCCCCCCTTTTCTAAAATATCGTGGATTTAAGTATTACGTTTTCTTTTAGAAAAGCAATTAAATTTTTAGGCCAGAATATTTATCAGTAAAACTAAATTTTTGAAGTAAGTTCATACTTATGAAATATTAATGATACAATTAGTTCAATAAAAAAAAATAAGTGGAGCAATATTAGAGATTTTTTTCTTCTTTGGGATAGTTAAAAATATAAGGTTGACATGAGGATGAAGTGACCACTCATCATCCCACGGAGTGAAGAAGTGGGAATCAAGAGAAATGACAAGAGCATGGTCCGATCGGTCAGCAATTAGTGATGTGCTGATTTCCTCTATTTCATCTTGAATTCTACTATCAACCTGACAATAGATGGATTTTTGCATTTTCTTTACATTAAGGCTGGAAAGTTTACGTGAGGCTCAGCCCCCCCCCCCCCCCCCCCNATGGGGCACCGTGAGGCTGTTAGAGAAACCCCCCCCCTCCACCCCTAAGTGCCTTACGTAATTTGTGGATGGCCCCTAAGATAGATTTACAAATGGTAATTCAGCATTTCCTTAAAAATCTAGAAAGTACTTACAGGATATCTTAGATTTAAAAGCTGATCTTTCAGCGATCCTTTTTCACGACCAAAATAAGTCTATTCCTTTTTTTTCTTTCTTTCTTTTTTTCCCACTAATTTATTAACTCTATAGGCCAATATGAGGAGTGGAACGCCTCTCCAGGTTTGAAAAAAGGAATTGATTACGTTGCAACAACAGTGATATCAAACAAATGGCAAAAATCTTGATTTCTTTGAAGTGGGTACTTGTGCTGAAACATTTTATACCTATAAGCTTAATGATAAGAGAAAACTCAGGAAAAAATGGCATAGGTGGCGCAGAAAAATCTTAACTTGGCAAAAAGAATTAATCCTTGGAGTACCTGCAGGTCAATTGTTGAATTGTCATCAAATGATCCTGGTTGTATCCCTATATTGGAAGTGTTAATTTTCGATCAAAAATTATTCAACGACGATCTAATAATCCAAGCACTGTGGTGCGATTAAGAACCTGTAGAACTGATCAAACCAATTATGTTGGCTCAGTCTTCTTTATAGAAAATAAAATAGGAGCGGAGATTTCGAAACACCCTAACCGAGAAACGCAATTCTGCAGTTTCACCGTCGTTCCGTGATCTCATCCAACGATAATCAAATTTGCAAAATCAGTAAAGGCAAATCAGATGGTGGATAGAAATTCTCAAGAGATTAGACAGGTATTAATGCAATCCAGAATGACACATTCCAGATCTGTAGGTACACAAACTGAAGTGATAAGAATTCTTGATGGTTTGAAACTGCAGGAAACTGACAGATTGGGGAGTAAATACTTGGACCAAAATCATCTTTGATTTAAGTGATCATAAGACATTTGTCAAAACCTTGCTTCGATACCCAAATTTCAAAGGGCAGAGAACACAGATAGGCGATGGACATAAATTATGAAGTTTTACCTCAAGCACAAAATCGAAAAAGCTGGTCAGAACAGTGAGATTTGAGACTACAAACACATTGATGGCACGAACGAATGGACAGTTTCGGACGAGTTTAGCTCGGAGGCACCTTTCAGAGCATGACGAAGGTTACAGTAAGGTTATTGAAATCGAGTTGAAAATATGGAAATAGCTAAAATAAAACAAGTACACGGGATACGAATAACTAATCATCTCTATTTGCACCTGGAATGTTCAACCTTGACGAGACTCAACCCCGACAAGTCTCTTATCACTACCTTTCGAAACCACAACATCACGTGGCCACAGTCACACTGAGTGCGATTGACGCAGGACCTATTTTGCGCAAGATTTCTCCGTTTGAAATATTTGAAATCCCATGGTATGGTATAGTAACTACTATCGAGGATACTCGCAAATTTTTTGTGTGTGTATCGATGCTAAGATGCTATTGAAAGAAAAATGAAGGATGTGGATGAATGACAAGGCAGTCACTCATGTCACTCAAAGGCTGCTCAAAAGCCATGCGTGCCGCAACGATAGGATTGTGTGAATAATCCTTCATTCCCCCCTCCTCCCTGTTTCGAACTCCTTATCACGCATGCCTCGTATCCAAGAACCAAGATTCAAAGTTTTGATTTCGTCAAACCGCCTTTTCTTACTGTCTGCATTTCTGTGTGTACGAATTATTTCATTACCTTATTTTCTTTTACCTCGAGTGCTCGAGTGTAAAGTCGGTTTCGCCTACAGTGAGCCGTTTGCGAGTCACTTCATGTCACAAAGCTTACCTAACTAAAGTGCTTTAAAACTGTTGTGCATCACCAATATCACTCACTCCTGTGTTTCCCCTCGTACGTGCGTCCAAGTATTTACTTTTTCAAGTGTTTCATCTCTAACTTCTCAAGTGAGCTCCATTTTCTATTCTACTCTTTCTATTCTTAGCGAGTTTTTAAAGCATTATGTATTTCGACGGTGTAAGTTGGCAATCACATATTTCGTTTGCGATGTCTGAAAATCTCCGCTTCTGTGTTATTTTTTAAAGGAGGACAATGAGACATCACTCTTTGAACCTTGAAGTTTTTTCAGGATTTTCTTCGCACAGAGAAGATAAATCATGGCAGTAGGTAGTTTTCTGTTTAAAGATTAAAGTATGACAGGAAGTCTGCAACGTCGCAAACTGAGTTATGTGATTGCCGACTTACACCGTCGATTTGCCTTTGGTCCTCAAGAGATTTGCTCAGAAAACACCAGAGATTTTCTTTCCGTGACTCTGAGATCCGGAAGGTTATGTTGAGGTAGTAAAGAACTGTAGGTACGGTAATTTACATGATCAAGGAATTTTGCAGAAACTCTAAGGCGTTTTTTATCGGTGTAAAGCTATGGCTTTGCTTTGCTGTGTTTCATAGAAAATCGGTTGAGGTTAGGATTGCTTGTAGGCACCAGACCAAACATGTTTATGCACTTTCAGACTTCATCAGAGGATTGTCTGACTTGGTTGTAGCATGAAAAGTAAATGCAAGAATCAAGGTGGCACATCCTCTACTGCAGTCTAAAAGTGTGTAAATTTATTTGATGTAGACTCTTAACTGCTCGCTACCCTCCTCGTGAGATGGGTCCAAGCATTCTACTGGAACGCAAGGAATGGGCAGGACTGCTGATGGATGTGGAATAAAAAAAAAAATGCGTTCCATTGCAATTCTCTGCGGTCCAGGTCAAAGGAAGCCGAGATGTAAAAAAAAAGTCTATAGTTTTTCCCCAGAAGTGGAAGAAAACTTTGGTTTCTCATTTGGGAATGAGCTCGAGAAAGTCAGGAAAATTCAGAAGGAAATTAAGGAATGAGAATGGATGAGGACTCTACAGACAACAATTTTAAACTCCAAGGATCTGGAAGTTTTTTTTTTTTTCATTTTTTTCTTTTTCTTTTTTAAATATATACTTACTAGGGGCCTGAGGCTGCTACGCGGCCGCTAAACACTGAAAGGGAACTGCTCGTAAGAAATCATAGAACAACCACGTTCAAGTTATTTATTATAATTGAATAGCAATTTGAATTGACAATAAATTTTGAAAGAAGATATAACATGCTCTGAAATTTTGGAAATTGAAATTGGAATTTTGAATTTATCATCATTTAATAACAATTTAAATTTATAATCTGGAAAAATTAAATTATACCAGAAAATAATTTCGGACTTTTAAATGTGAAGTACCAGTATTGTGATGCCTTGCATTTCAAAAAAGAGGAGGTGAGCGGCCTTTTTAACAGATGCTGTCATAATGGTCTTCTTGCTGAGCCTGGAATCAAAGACCAACTTCGCGACCTCTTCTCTAAACCCATTTTCATGACCAACATTTTGAGGTACAACAGTTGTATGGCTTTTGCATCTCTGTCTGCTTCCAAAGCTCATATAATTTTGAACCAAATCTCCTGCTATCAAATACGAAAAATCATGGAGACTTTAAGTTTTATGTTGACCAGCTTCTCAAAAGAAAAATAAAATTTCTAAGGAAGTCTCCAACGTCGCAAAAGGAGAAACGTCGTCTCTCATTTTGCCCAAAAATATGTATGTATAAAATTGAAGGCATTATAACTGGCCTCTCTCAACTTAAAATCGTATGTAACGATAAACAATGGGACGCGTTTGCTACAGCGCCTTGATACAACTATACAACTTCGACGGATGTCCGTATTGCGTTCAAAAAATTGAAGGCGTTTTGACCCCCTGCTCATACTACCTGTAGTTGATTCGATCGACAAACGCGTTAGTCGGCGGTGACGGGATCTTGATGCATTTTTTTAAACTTGATGGATGTCCGTATCGCACCGACTGTAGTGCGAAACCACGTATCTCAATTTCGGTGTTTCAAAATTTCCGTTCTCAAATCATCTCTTCCATGAGAAACAATCCAAATTTTCGACTTTAAATTTTGAACCAAATCTTCTGCAATCGCATGCGAAAAATCATGGAGAATTCAAGTTTTATGTTGACCAGCTTCTCGATGGAAAAATAAAATTTCAATAATTTTTCCATCACAATACTGGCACTTCACATTTAAAAGTCCGAAATTATTTTCCGGATAATCATTTTCGATAAAATTATCAGTGCTCTGCCGAGATGAATTGAGGTTATTTTCCTGTTCACCCCTACGTCGTACATTATCCACCTCACTGAGATAGCCATCATGCCGCACTTTGCGTCGCGCGGATAAATTGCGAGGAACATTGGCACGCTTCGCCGGACGCCCACGTTTTCGACTCCGATCTAGAGTACATACCTGCATAAGGAGAGTACCGACTGATCGGTTCATGGAGGGCTCTGGGCCCAAAAGTGCAGCCACCCTTCTAACCAACTTCTAACGCACAAAATTTCACTGCCAGTCTGCAGATTCCAATTCTAACCATGATGGCCAAGAATGTACAGAAATGAGCGTTCTTCCGCCCCGGGTGGTTGGGCTCCTGGGATGCCAAATGGGGTAGCACCTGGGGGTTGGGCCCTTTGGATTCCAGGTGGGGTTCCCCCGGAGGTTTTGCCCCCTAAAAATTACGTTTTACATTGCTAAAATTCGTACTCTGTTGCCTGGGCGAATAATTTGCCTTCAAATAGCCGGCTATGCAAAATGATTGTCGTGACGCACGAATAGTGGTATCAGAATTTTGCATTAAGATTACGGAGTGCGTTGAAGGCGCTCTTCTTTATCCTATATGAGTGGCCCTGTACAATGATGTTGAAAAAAATGTTCATAATTTTAAAGTCTTCAATCGAGCCGTAATTTTGATAAATTCCCGAAGAATATTATTTCGGTTATGAAATAATACGATTTTTTGCTCTGTAATTGGTATGTCAAAAAAGAGAGTCCAAACGCGTGGTTCAGATTGTGATTTTAAGTCCTCTTGTTTTAATTGGTCATCGTTTTCTCATGCAAAACTGAGAGTCGCCGTTTACATTATTGCAACTGACTCAAAAGCGGTTTGTGAATTCAATAAGTTTTGCACGGATAAAATGAGCTTTCGTCGATGAACTGTGAATAATCAAAATTGAAGAAAAGGTACTTTATCCATTTGAAAATCGTAGAATGTGGATGGATGGAGCATAGAGTTCCTCCGGGTCCCTTTGAGCACTAGATGGCTGTAGGTTTTTAACGGTATGTATGCCAAAGTGTTGGGGGAAAAATCGAAAGAAAAGTATCACGTATGTAATATTTTGAGGGTCCACGCAGAGACGATATATTATAGAGACTACGCACTGTCCTCTTACCTATGGTGTAAAAGTTACTCAAGGAAGCCAATTCCCTAACTCACTTATTGGTGACTCGTCGTATTGTATCAAGTTTATAAAGCTTCTAAACAATTGTTAAGCCCTGGCTAGGCGATCAAATTCCCGAACCAATTCCGATCACAGTAGCATCAAAGTGTCGGGAGGCATCAGTCTTAAACTCATTAATTTGCTTAATTTCAAAATGAAAACTTGGCAGAAATGTTTCCTGTGGCAGGAAATGATGAATGGTGGCACTCCATTCTGATCTTACTTTGAACAAAATAGTGCGGCCCGTCAAAATTTGATGGTAGATGGTGACCATCAGTCATCAGCATGTCTACTTTGATCGGAATTGGTTCGGAATTTGATCGTCTATCCAGGGCTTTAAAGTATGAATAAACTCTATTTTTGATCTTAATGATCAAGAGCAGGTTCAGGACGCTAATAATTGCAGAAATGCGTATTTCGTGATCAAATGTCATTTTCCAATCATACAATGCTTGATCTGGCCATTTGAGATCAAACTAAATCTTATCTGATAAGGAATTGTAGGCTAAAACTCTTTTTCAAGCTTGAAATGATCCATATCCGCCATATCCTGCCGCGGGTATTTTCTAACAGTTCAAGAAATTATTCAAAATGTTGATTGAATCTGAAAAAGCATCTTATTCTCGCTATCTTCGAGTACCCTTCTCCTATCAATAAAGAGGAATTTCGACAGTTTTTTTTACTCTCCTGGAAAATCTTGTTTTCCGAGTTACGCACTTCTGCACTTTCACCATCGAAATGTATAAGTAATTGAAGTAACTCTGTCGTTTTATATCCTCGAGGGAACGCCCGCTGCACTGTAAATCGAGCCTTTCAGGAAGGTTGTCGTCTCTCTCTCTCGCACTCATTGGGCAGATGCGGCACGTCAAAGGAGACCACTCGGCTTTCCCAAGCCGCCTGGGAATCGTCCATCTCTCTCGCACTCATTGATCAGATGCAACATTCCGCGGCT